TCGAACCAGTCTGGCCATTCTCCTCTGACCTCTGGCATCAACAAGGCATTTCCGCCCACAGAACTGCCGCTCACTGGATGTTTTTTCTTTTTCGGACCATTCTCTGTAAACCCTAGAGATGGTTGTGCGTGAAAATCCCAGTAGATTAGCAGTTTCTGAAATACTCAGACCAGCCCTTCTGGCACAAACAATCATGCCACGTTCAAAGTCACTCAAATCAACTTTCTTCCCCATACTGATGCTTGGTTTGAACTGCAGGAGATTGTCTTGACCATGTCTACATGCCTAAATGCACTGAGTTGCCGCCATGTGATTGGCTGCTTAGAAATTAAGTGTTAACGAGCAGTTGGACAGGTGTACCTAATAAAGTGGCCGGTGAGTGTATATATGTGTGTGTGTTTATGTGTCTGTGTATATACACACACAGTTGTAATCGGAATTATTAAACCCCCATTGCAAATCAAGTTTACTGGCAAAATGTGTAGACTTTTAGCTGTTTGCAAGGAACAAATCAAGCAAAAGCAATTGAAATAGTTCAACACAACAAATGTTTCAAGTGGCTTTCCCAAATTCAACTGAAAATGCAACTTTTAATTTCGTATATATGCTAATATATATATATATGTGTGTATGTGCATTTGTCACAGGCTTTGCTCTTGGCAGCACTATTGAATCAAAGACCAAAGGCATCTGGATGTGGTGTGTCCCTCACCCCTATAAAGAAGGACACACTCTGGTGCTGCTGGACACAGAGGGACTTGGTGATGTAAAGAGGTGTGAGGATGAAGACCATACAGCATCCACAGTGATGTTTCTGTAGCAAAAACCATAATTTCAGCATGACTAATTTTTATCTTTTACAGTCCTTGTAAGACAGCCATATTGCATTAAAACTCTGTTCCCCACATTGTGTGACGTAAAGGTAAATAAGTGGCCACTTATTCTGTAGCTGACAGACTGTTTATGTTTCAGGGGGATGAGAAATATGACACGTGGATCTTCTGTCTGGCTGTTCTTCTCAGCAGCACTCTAGTGTACAACAGCTTGCGTTCGTAGATCGACTGGTAAAGGCTGTATTTCAAAGATGGCTCCTGCCTGTATACGCGAAGTTGACTATGTATAAAATATCTTCTTATTAAACTGTCTGGACACTGACAAAGTTCTCATTGCTTCGGTTTGAAGGTAGGGACCCTCATTATGCTACCGTGCTAGTGTGGGGCTATTTTGAGCCTTGTTAGTGGTATTAACAAGCGATTTTTATTTGTCATTGATCTATGCCCAATATACTAGCGTTATACTAGCTTTATAGGCTAAACTGTTTTTAGAGATAAAACTATTTACATTCGATAATCATGAAAACAAATCTCAGATAACGGTTGACTAGGTAACAATGTGTAATTAGACCAAAGGTTCATTTTGGGCCGGAGTTCTCCTTTAAGCAGCACTTACAGCAGTTTTATGCAGATAAATAAGTTTGAAGAAACTAATGAAAAGTAAAAGAAAGAACAAATGACTGACTGAACTATCGAGTTGTGTTTCCTGACAGCTCTGGGGAATCTTGCTGAGGTTTACGTAGAGGCGATCCGCAGCGGGAAGGTTCCATGCCTGGAGAACACAGTCGTGTCTCTGGCTAAGATCCAGAACGTCCGTGCAGTGGAACAGGCCCTGGAGTCCTACATGACCGAGATGCTCAGCATGGCTCAGCTTCCTATGGACCCTGCAGATCTGTCCAACATCCACAGTCGCAGAGAAGAAAGCCATTGAAGGTTTCATCACCGTGTCCTTCAATGATAATGACCAGATCTACCAACAAGAGCTCATGGTAAAGTACCCGCTGACACAAAAATTCAAATGAAACCGCACATCTATGGAAAGGCAGAACACAACTTAAATGCTTTAAAAGAGTTTTTAAAACAGAAAGGCAGAACACAACTTAAAAACAGTTTCTTACCTTTTCTATTTTCCTTTTTTTTTTTTTAGGGGAAAATTTATGATGAATATCAACAGATTTGCCAGCAGAATAGGGAAGAATCTGTCATACAATGTGAGGCTGTTCTGCATACTGTGTTTGATAAACTGGAAAAAGGCATTTTTGATGGATCATACCTGAAACCTGGAGGATACAGACTGTACAGAGACATGCTCGCACAGCTGGCCAATGAATACAGAGCAAGAACACAGTCACAAATTATGGTACAGAACACACATGCTCTGCTTGTGTAGCATCGGCAGGAAATGGCTTGAGCAAGGCACCTAACCCCTAATCGTTCCCCTGGCACCACAGCATAATGGCTGCCCACTGCTCCGGGTTTGCTGTATGTGTGTGTGTGTGTGTGTTCACTACTCTGCTCCTAATGTGTGTGTGCACTAACTTGGATGGGTTAAATGCAGAGGACAAATTCCGAGTATGGGTTACCATACTTGGCCTTCATGTCACTTTCTCTTTCAAATTTGATAATTCTGACAGCATTATTCAAGTTTAAACATGTCCCAAAAAAATAAATGAATCCCACCATAAAAGTGGCCCATACACCTCAAGTGCAATATTACATGAAGACGTACTGTATAACTTTGCATGAGGAACAGACCAATTTTTCAGTTATTCAATAAAAATATGACATGGATGTCATAGAAGTTTTGGAATATTGCACTCAAGTCGTATGGGTCAGTGTTATTTTAGTACTGTTTATATACTAGTACGGTATTTATTAATATTTTGAGAAATCTTTTATTTTTATATTGTCTGTTTTATTTTAGTTTGTTTTAGCAATTGTATGTGCTTTTGTCTTTTTATTCGTTTTTTATATATTATATTAAATTGATTTATTTTTTATTTTGTTTTGGTTTAAAAAACTATTACTTCAACTTATATTTAATTTAACTTACTTTGTTTTGTTTCATCTAATATCTATGTTTTATTTTATTTCAGCTTTTTTCAATTAACAACAATACATTTTAATGGTTTTAATTAACAAAAAACAACACTTGTATGGATAACTTGGCATTTTTTATCCATTTTAAACATGTAAATTACTTGTGTGTGTAAATTACACGTTTTACACGCTCCTCATTAGAACTACAGAAACTCGATCCGATCTGGCAATCTTACATAGCGTGGTTATAGCAGATAAAGGACCGCAAAGTGAATCGAGAAGTGCCTTTCACCCTGTTACGACTTAATGAACCACTGAAACGATTTTGGAAACATTATTTTAAGGTACAAAAAATCTTACTTAGTGTTGCTTTAAATGCTCAAGCTTTTTAAAATTTAGGTGGGTTCTGATTGGCTGTCAATGTTTTTAGCAGCTGAAAAAAATCTTCTGCAAGTGATTCCAACAATATTGTTCCTCTGAGCCATTAACATTATAGTTGTGGTGTGAACCCCGCTATTCCTTTAAATTTACAACAATTTTCAAAACTTTTTTTTATTATTATTATAGTTATCGTTCTTGGTTTGAACGGGCCTTAAGCCTCCAAACAATCTGGAATACAGTGCTTTCAATAAGTGCTATTTATTCTGGAGAATCCTGATGTAAAATAAAAAATAAATAAAAAAAGTAGGATTTGGTTCATTACAAATATATTTTTAAAAGCTGCCATTTATAAACTACTTCTAAAAGGAATTTACATTCCTTCTGTTTTGTAAAAAAAAAATCTTCACTTGATACGAATCCACCAATCAGCTTACACAAGGGGTTTTGTTATGCAGTCAAACAGCTGATCTCAGAGATTCTGTTGATCAGTCTTTTATTTGCTCAAGAGATCTAATTACATAAAATGTCCTATATACACTCACCGGCCACTTTATTAGGTACCCCATGCTAGTAACGGGTTGGACCCCCTTTTGCCTTCAGAACTGCCTCAATTCTTCGTGGCATAGATTCAACAAGGTGCTGGAAGCATTCCTCAGGGAGTTTGGTCCATATTGACATGATGGCATCACACAGTTGCCGCAGATTTGTCGGCTGCACATCCATGATGCGAATCTCCCGTTCCACCACATCCCAAAGATGCTCTTTTGGGTTGAGATCTGGTGACTGTGGAGGCCATTTTAGTACAGTGAACTCATTGTCATGTTCAAGAAACCAATTTGAAATGATTAGAGCTTTGTGACATGGTGGAAGTAGCCATCAGAGGATGGGTACATGGTGGCCATAAAGGGATGGACATGGTCAGAAACAATGCTCAGGTAGGCCGTGGCATTTAAACGATGCCCAATTGGCACTAAGGGGCCTAAAGTGTGCCAGGAAAACATCCCCCACACCATTACACCACCACCACCAGCCTGCACAGTGGTAACAAGGCATGATGGTTCCATGTTCTCATTCTGTTTACGGCAAATTCTGACTCTAACATCTGAATGTCTCAACAGAAATCGAGACTCATCAGACCAGGCAACATTTTTCCAGTCTTCAACTGTTCAATTTTGGTGAGCTCTTGCAAATTGTAGCCTCTTTTTCCTATTTGTAGTGGAGATGAGTGGTACCCGGTGGAGTCTTCTGCTGTTGTAGCCCATCCGCCTCAAGGTTGTGCGTGTTGTGGCTTCACAAATGCTTTGCTGCATACCTCGGTTGTAACGAGTGGTTATTTCAGTCACTGTTGCCCTTCTATCAGCTCGAACCAGTCTGGCCATTCTCCTCTGACCTCTGGCATCAACAAGGCATTTCCGCCCACAGAACTGCCGCTCACTGGATGTTTTTTCTTTTTCGGACCATTCTCTGTAAACCCAAGAGATGGTTGTGCGTGAAAATCCCAGTAGATTAGCAGTTTCTGAAATACTCAGACCAGCCCTTCTGGCACCAACAATCATGCCACGTTCAAAGTCACTCAAATCAACTTTCTTCCCCATACTGATGCTCGGTTTGAACTGCAGGAGATTGTCTTGACCATGTCTACATGCCTAAATGCACTGAGTTGCCGCCATGTGATTGGCTGCTTAGAAATTAAGTGTTAACGAGCAGTTGGACAGGTGTACCTAATAAAGTGGCCGGTGAGTGTATGCAGTCGTGTATGTTATAGTCCGTCCTACATCCGTCTTAGAGTTCAGAGCCAGACATCAGCCTCCTAAGCGTGTCTGACGACTCCGCTCGAATCCAGGGCTCTGTAGTAGCTGTATCAATGGAACTGGGCCAGCCAGGAGACGTCAGGGTAAAACGTTCATCACGACGACCAGCTTCATCTTCATCATCATCCTCATCATCATCAGAGCAGCCTCCTAAACACATCATTAAAATAAGTTCTGGATCTTTAAAGAATCACAGAACATTCACTGAGACGAACACACACCTGCTGTGGTGTTGTGATGACCGAAGGCTTGTAGTCTCTTCATCCTGAGAGTGTTTGTGTCTCTGAGTTTCCTCATACTGAGAGACTGCTGCACCGGCTGCTTTCCTGCAGCCTAAACACATACACATATACACTTTATTTTAGAATTATATGGATGTCATCATATGTAAATCATGCGTATGTAAGTCATATGCAAAACAAAAGATTGGGAATTATGTAGCGACAAAATCAAAACCCAAGTATGTTAGTTCCTGACATTGGCTGCGTCCAAAATCGCACACTCTCGAGTAGGTGTTTATTTTGAATAATTACTTCGCGACCACTAAAAATGTACGTACTATATACAGTAGTCAACATTTGAAGTGGATCAAAAAAGTTCATCAAAGTTGTCCTAAGACAAGAAACGAGTATTGTTCAAAATTCATGTATAACTTGAATCCACTTCAAATGTTTACTACTGTAGTATGAATGTATTCTGGACATACTACATTCACAATGTTGTCATTATCCTGTGCCCTACAGTATCAGTGTCAGTGCCATTCAGAAATCCTCTCCCGTGGCCTTGTGGGATAGTAAAGTGCCCATCATAAGCACACTTCAGAATCTCGGCAGAAGTAGTAGGTCATCCAGGTATTTTTTGTTTATTCTTTTATGAGTACTGTGAATTTGAACATACTTGTTCTTTTGTCACATACTGTTTTTCGCTTACTAAGCAGCCCCTCATCTGACTTTATCAGGTGCGTCCTGGGATGCTATCAGTATTAAAACAGTACTCAAAAAAAATTTCTTTGTAAACAAACACTACTTTTAAAAGCAAACCTAGGCAAATATAAATTGTGAACAATGTTTTTGTGTATCATTTCCATGAAATGCGGTTGATGTTGGTTGAGAAAAATTATGGTTCAGAAATAATGCCAAAGCTGGTGAGAAGCAAAGGTGAAAATCAAGCTTTTAATGTTGTTTATATGTCTATGTGGTGTTTTTAATATGCTTTAAGACAAACCATGTGCAAATTCATAAGTCAACACCATTGTGGAGTATTTTCTCTTTAAAACTGCACTGAACCAAAGACAGTCTCAAAAATGCGGTTTGAAATCGCTGGTGTTTCTGAAGTCACAAACTACCTGTGTGATCATCAATGAGTGGATCTCTGAGCTGGTGTGAGTGATTGGAGGCGGGTCTAATTAGCATATTCATAGAATCCCATATAATAAATGAGGCACGGGTGTGGTTATTTTAAGGCATGAAGAATTTTGTTGTTTAAATATATAATTTTGGTGATCAAAGATGAGTTTTAAGTGATAAAATTATTGACTACAGGGGGACTTTAACATTTGCATATCATAAATTGTATGAAATGTAGTTGAGTTCTTTTTAGGTATCAGACAATTGTCCATAACATCTGTAAGAATGAATCAACAAATGCATGCAATTTTGTCAGTATAAATTGTACTTTAGTCTATAAGAATTTGAAGTCACTATACACAATGTTTAGATGTGAATTACCTGAAGGTTTGCTAGTCTGCGTCGTTCTCGTGCTGATGGCTTCGATTTCCTCTCAACATCTGGAGGAAGCGGGAAAGCAACTCCATTCTGATCTAATGTTATTTAATAAATCAACAGTATGTATTAAAACAAAAAGCAGAATATGCATGAGAAGGTGATATTTAACTATTAAAAACATCTTGTGAAATGTTTGAAAAGTGTGTTCATATTTTTCTTTAAAATAAATGACATTTGGTTTGATATATTGTTATATAATGCAAAAACATGCATACATTTTTAAGTGTGCCTTAAATATCTAAATCAATTTTGGGGCCACTGTATATAATAAAATAACTGTTTTTTTTTTTTATACTTATCAAACAATTAAAGAAACGTGATCCCACCGATAAATTCACTCTCTGACAGAAGCACAGATCCTCGTCCCCCCTCAACTGCTCTGTTCCTCTGTGTGACAGGAAAAACAGAACTGCCATGTTAAACATCATTCAGTCTTAACTCAGCATCAAAAGTACTGCTGGAGCTGCTTCTGGTACTGCAGAATACAATGGAAATAACAAGCACAGGAAATAACAACGCTTTGCATTCATAAGAGAGGAAGACTTACAGACTGCTGTGTTCTAGGAAGCGGCATAAAGTCATCTGAGAAATATGGGAAAAAAGGGTTAGTTTCTGCATGAAAGATGAATTTATATAAAACAAAATATTAAAGTGAGCTCTCATTTCAGTCACAATATTTAATTGTAGCCAACTACAAATTACTTTAGTATGATATGACCTGTTTTATTGTGAAAGAAATAGCAACAGACACATACAAACACTATGTGTAGTGTTTTATAACACTAATAAATTCATTTTAATCCTCATAGCTCAGATTTATATTAGTATAACAGCCAATACTTACCTCTGTACATGATGTCATAGGATTTCTTTGAGCTGATTGGCTCAGTGCCACGGGAGGAGGGGCCTCGAACAGGCATACGCATGCGTGCCATGTCAAACACATCAACCCTGGGCCTACAAACACAAACACACAATGCTATATAATGAAAATAGTCAGTTATTCACAATATTGCTAATAATACAGAAAGTCCATACTAAAAATATTATAGACATAATTTATGAAAGTGTTGTGTTATTTATGTGTTATTTATAAGTGTTGCACAGTGACAATGTATTGAACAGATTTACTAGGCTGGAACGTCGTATTGTATTCATGTAGCAATACTAACCAATCAGCATCCAGGACCAGAACTATTGTTTAAAGTCATATACATTTTGTGAATATGATACTTTTGGATACTTAAAGCAATTCTGATTTAAAACCTTACCTTGGCTAAGACCAGAATACATGAACTACAAGTCTGAAAAACATGTAACCTACTTCTGTCAGCTAAGCTGCCATTTGAGTTATATTTTATTTGTGTATCTCTTTTAGATCAGTTCTGTACTCATGCGAACCTAGAATTCATTGGGCGTATTTTATGCATCATACTTCCTATTAGTATCTTTCCTTCCAGACAGCAAAATTATAAACCATTAGTTTAAAAGATCACAGACGATTACTGATGCTCATTAACTATAAAAAATAAAATAAAATAAAAACAGCTCATTTAGTAGAACCATAGACTGTAGGAGTAAAACCAGTCAAAACCAGCCAAGACTGGGAAAGGCTGATGCTTAAGCCTCTGACACAGTACCACTGTAGTGATCTGCTGCTGTATTCATTCACAGTAGGTTGACGAACAGGTTAAGTGTGGCAAATGTTTAACACAATCCTTTAGTGTCAGACTTAAATATTAAACAAACATTATTAAACACTTATAACAACACACTGTACCTGTCAGTGAAGGGGGAGGGGAGAGGATCCCACTCTGTCTGCAAGAGCTGCTCCTCCAGACGCTGTTGTTCACTGCGTAGACGTCTTCTTAACACACTCAGCTCATTAACAACCTCATTTCTGTCTTCTGAAGAGAACACAAACAAATACAGTAAACCCTCAAATACGGACTTGTAAGGATGGTATTAGCTAATTTATAAGCAGACCCAACAAATAAATTAAAAGGTTCATAACCACAACAAAAATGAAATGTACTTAACTTAGTCTATAAACTCATTTCAATACCTACAATCACCTACACTTTAGGGAGTGGGACTTGATTCACATAATTCATAATGGCTTGACGATGGACTAAATCATTTTTTAATTCAAATCTAAAATTTACATATGATTTCTGTAAGGGTCAGGTTTAGGGTTAGGGTATAGCAAATATTTTTAGCTTAAAATAAAAACAATAAAAGTCAATAGAACATTCTCATCATGATATTACTCTCTGTTCTCTGATGGTTTCTGTGTTCTGGAGATGTAGGAGCCCGAAACGGAGAGAAATCCTGAAGAATATACAGAAAGAAGTGAGTGAGAAGTAAACATGAGTTTTTGCAATGCTTGTTTGTTCAAGTAAATGTCTGAGTTTAATGAAGTGTTTGTTACTGTAGCGTTTGAAGGGTTGCAGTGTTTATTCTGTAAGGTAGGGATAGGAGGGGATGGCGCACGTTGAACCTAAAAAAAAAAACAGAGTTAATGATGACAAAACAGTCGCACACAATCACTACTTCTATGGACAGCAAATTATGTTTGTTTCTGAAAGTGTGCTGCAACTGCTATTTGAAGTATTTTAAGGTTGAGCAACGAGCTCATTGGCTACAGATACAGCAGGAACCAATTGCTATAGAGAATGATGTGATTGCAGCAGATTGAGTCAAGGAACCATCAGCCTGTGCCATCTAGAAATTTGTATCTATGCTAAAATACACATATACAGCTTATGTGAAATATAGCTCATTGCAGTAAATTCACATCCAAACTCAGAGAGAACCACACACCTGTTGCAGCCGTATTTGTCTGTTTTGTTGTTCCTGTTTTCGGAAAGCTGCTCTCTCTATTTCTTCTTCTTTTTTCTTTTTCTCTGCATCCCTCCGTCTCTCCTCTGCCAGACGAGCAAGTTCTTCATTCTTCAGTTTTTGCTACCAAAAATATCATAATTTTGCTTAAAGTCAGCGGTGCTGGTCACTGAGACGGTGTAAGATCATTAGGAGTGCTTATGCACTGGAAAATGAGACACAACAACATTTGATGCCATTTCTTTAAGCACTTAAATTTACTTCATTTGGATGGCAAAATGTGATTTAAAGTGAACACATCTCTGTTAAATCATTAATATTTAATCAATTGTTTAGATTAGACCACGACTAGGACATTTTAAAATAATTGCATTAGGCCACTGATATTAAAATTCTGTTGATAATCATTTTCATGTTATGAAATATATATCGAAAAACCAACAGAGGAATCCACGCACCAAAAAAATTTCAGTGTTTAAGGTCCATTGAAAAGTAGTATTTTACGCATCCGTAAAATACTTTTCATGAATAAATTGAAACTTTTTTATATTTTTGTCATGAAATATATATTAAAATTCTATAATAAACTATATTAAATCAAGTTTTATAATTTAATCTAAATTTATTCAAATTAAACACTAAAAACTAAAATCAATCATTTTTACATCAAATTTAAGCATCACAACATTATAATACACACAATGAACATGAAGATGGACATTCATTTTGAGAATTGCTGTATATTTAACTGTGTTATTAAATTATTAGTGTTATTTTAAACATCAAATTTAAGTGAGCATTACAAAAGGTAATCTAAACATAAAAAAATTAGCATGCACTATTTAATATCCAATATTGACTAATACTGAAATTGACTCTTAGCTGATATGGGACTGATTCATCCCTAAAAATATGACAGGCAGGAGTGCATGCGTCCGTCTGTCTGACCTCCATCTCTCTGCGTTTCCTGCTCTCCTGCTCCTCTTCATACTCTCTCCTGATTTTCTCTCTCTGTTCTGTCAGTCGTCTGTCCTCCCTCTCCTCCTCTGCCCTCATTCGCTCTCTCTCCTCCGCTTGCATCCTTCGCTTCTCTTCCATCTAAGGAAAAAAAAACATACAAAGATCATTATGTTTATGGTGTTTATTTACAGGTACAGTGGGGTCCAAAAGTTGTAAAATTGAATAACATTGAAAATCTGTGATTCAATATCTAATTTAATCCTGAATATTACACTTTAGAATTGAATGAATATGAGTGTGAAGAGTCTGTATGTATATAAACTACCATTCAAAATTTGGGGTTGGTAAGATTTATTTTGTTTTTGAAACAAGTCTCTTATGTTCAACAAGGGTCCGTGTATCTTTTGGTCATTTGATTTCCTGTTTGGAATGGAATAACGAGAAATGAAATCCAGCTCGTTTATTCGTTTTTTTGTTTAGTTTAAAAAACGAAAAATTAGATTTTGGCTCGATTTTTCATTTTTCGTTTGTGGTTTACAAATCGGTTTATGGGTTCGATATTTCATTTGCACACGTGGGCGGCGCTGAAACGCCCCTTTCATCTGATTGGTCAAACTGCGTAGTTAACAGTGAGTGGTGGTTTCAGACATTGTTTTATTAAAGTGCATTTATTAATACTCTTATTCTGCCCGACAGAAAGAAAAGCTTGTACTGAAGGCGGAGCGGTTTGACCAATCAGATGAAAGGGGCGTTTCAGCGCCGCCCACGTGTGCAAATGAAATATCGAACCCATAAACCGTTTTGTAAACCACAAACGAAAAATGAAAAATCGAGCCAAAATCTAATTTTTCGTTTTTTAAACTAAACAAAAAAACGAATAAACGAGCTGGATTTCATTTCTCGTTATTCCATTCCAAACAGGAAATCAAATGACCAAAAGATACACGGACCAACAAGGCTGCATTTACTTGATCAAAACTGAAAAAATATTGTGAAATATCATTACAATTAAAAAAAGAACTTTTCTATTTTAATGTATTTTAAAATAATTTAGTAAGTAATTTCAAAAGTAGTTTATTCCTGTGATGCAAAGCTGAATTGCTTCTTTACTTCAGTCCTCAAGAGTCACATGATCCTACAGAAATCATTCTAATACGCTGATTTGGTGCTCAATTCTTAATATGATCAATATTGAAAACATTTGTGCTGCTTAATATTGTTGTGGAAATCAATGAATTCGATTCATTGATGAATAGAAACTTCCAAAGAAAAGCATTTATGTGAAAAATAATTTTTGGTAAAATGTCAAATCAATTTCGTGTCCTGGCTGGATGAAAGTATTAATTTCTTCTTTAAAAAATCCTAGCGACCCCAAACCTTTGAACAGCAGTGCATGTGTGTACCTGATGTTTCAGATATGCTTTGTACTGGTCTTGCTCCTGTAGTTGCTGGGGTGACAGCATCTGATTGAACACATTTCCTCTTGCAAACTGTGGAGTGTGTGTCTCAACAAAACCTTCAGATACAAACACATACAACTTAGTTGAGAATGTAAACATTCGCTAAAAACCCATCATACATGTTTGTATTTGAATTAAAACGTGTGCTAGCATGTTACCTGGCCTCTCCGGTATTTGTGCCGCTGCTGCATTCAAAAGGTGCATCTGCTTTAGATCAGCTACACACACACACAAACACATCATTTCTATAGCCAAAAGTTCCATTACTAATTATGTTGGAGATCTAAGTCATAGTAAATAAGTCATACTGATTAGATTTCCAGTGCTGTCTTTGAGTGGTGCACCAGCTCCGCCCCTTCCCCAGGGTTCATATGCTCTCATATCAGCATCAAGTTCTGCATCCAGTCTTCTCTTCTCCTCTCGGTCCACCCTCCTCTGTGCGGCCCGCTCCTCTATCTGCCCACGGGGCACACACACACAAATAAACAAACTTATAAGCTGGAAGTCTTCATTAACCCTCTGGGGACCAAGAACGCGCCCGCGCGTTTTGCTGGTTTTTTTTCACATAGCAGCAACATAGACTTAAAATACTCCGTCATTTATGGTCATATAAATAAAATCAATACATGATTATAAACTATAGAGGGTCTTCTTTTTTTGTGTACACTCACATTAACATCAAAACCTTGTGTTTTTTTTTAAAATAAATAAAATAAACAGGGTGCGCTTTCAGCTCACTCTGTCTCCGCAAAAATCTTTCTGAAACATGTCTGGAAAATGAACGGAAACTCCGCTAATACTTATCACACAAACATGAAACATACGTCTAAAGAACGCTTTAAATTTCTACTTTTAAATAAAACAATTCACATTTAAAACAAATATTCTCCTGCAATGTAATCTGTCTGAAACTAAAGAGAAGTACAGTTTCTCCTGTCTCAGCTCATTATCGTTAATTTGTTCACACCCACTCGCAGAGCGCGCTATTCATAAGATAATGTGTTGAGGCCATTTGCAAAATAGATAAACGCCCCCAGGCAAATGCTGTAAACGCACTATATTTTTTAGTCAGATTAAGATTCGTCTTGCGCGGCTATGAGGAATAATCCTGGGACATTTAATACAGAAGTGCTGGTTTATTTTCACTTCGAGGAGGAGCAACAGATTCAGCTGAGAACTGTAAGTGTTTTATGGCTGTGCTTTGTTCTAATCGCGATATAGAATAACGTTAGTGTCTGTAAACGGAAAAATAGCATACTGTGAATCATGTTTCTCTCTGTGTGTGTGTGTAAATTAATGAATGAACGCACAGATACGCACTGTTACAGACGAAATAAAAGACAAAATTTCGTTGACTAGTTTTGGATAAAGTTTTTCAAATCAAATAAGCATCAAATAAGCTTCAAAATAAAGACATCAGCTTTTGTTAGGAGTTTCTGGGGATAGAAGTGTCCAGACGTATGCACCCTGTATTTTAAAGAAGAACATTTAATCATTTGCGATACATTATTCATTCACAAAGAATTCAGGGACATTATTCACGTCCCTAAAGGTTAGAGTTTTCCTAATTTTTTAATTAAGGCATTAAGATTTTTTTATTCCTCTTTTTAGTCAACTTTAGCATGGGTGTGTTCTCTTCTAATTCTAAGCAGTGTGTGTGTGTATATATATATATATATATAGCCTATAATTAAAAAGCTATTTTAACCAGAAAAATCTACAATGAATGCCCAAAGTCGTGCAGCCATATAGTTTCTCTTGATATCAGTCCTGCTGACTTCAACATTCACAGGAGACTGTAATGAAAAATCAAACACCTTGGAAATGACAGGTATGTACTATGTTTCAGGAATGGGACAATGCTGTGTGACTGTGTAAGCCTCTGTATTTAGATCAGTGTGTTTACTAATGTGCTTTTTTGTCCTTTGTTGTGTATCTTTGGATTATGTTGTGTTGTAAATAAATCCAAACAATCTAAAAGCCATTCTTTTTTAACTCTCTGGGGTCGGCGGTCTCGCCGGCGATACCAGCTCACTTTTTTCCTTATCAGTGCAAAAGAGACTCAAATTACTCTGTTAATTTTGATCTTACATATAAGTGTTGTACATCATTCGATCCTGTTAAGTTTGTATTTTTTTTGTGGAACCTCATAATAAAAACAAAGTGTTGTGCTTTTCGCCTAATAAAGAAAAATAAACATGATGCGCGTTCTGCGTTCTCTCTGTCAGTGAAGTCCATTCTGAAACGCGTCCGAAAAATCATCTGTAACTCTGCAAATACTCAGTCAAACCGGTATACAGGCACACAGGCATGAAGCCTGAATTATCTTCTTTTAAATGAAGTAATTTATATAAAAAAAAAAATTTCTCATTTTATGTAATCTGTACGAAAAGAGAGAGATGATAGTCGTTCTCGTCTCAGCTCATTAAAGTTAATTTGACCACGCCCACAGAGCGCGCGCTCTATTCAAACACAAATGCGATCCACGCCCACATCAGCTGGATAACCCACGAAAGAGACTCAGATTTACGACGCTGTGAGGAATAATAGTTCTATCTTAATAATAATCCTGGAAAAAATTACCTCAGAAGTAGGCTACAGGTAGTTTCATTTGGAGGAGCAACGGATCCAGCCGAGGAAATAGGTACATTCTTTATTTTCAAGTGCTTTGTGCTAATCGCGATATGGAATAGTGTCTGTAAACAAAAAGACTGTTTGAATCGCGTTTTTGTGTGTGAATGAATGAACAGCTTTTACCTAACTATATTCCAATACTGAGATGAGTAAAAATCGACTGAAATATGTTGAAATAAAATATTTTTGTATAAGCAACGTATTAAACTGCAAATTAACATTTATATGTCCTAATCATAAAAACGATGTGTTACATATGAAAGACAAGATGTCGTTTTTACTGTAAAATACTGCCACATCAAATAAGCTTGTTTGCTAAGATGTTATTATAGTGTTTGTTCGATTGTAAGCTATATTCAAACTAATTAATCCGCAACTGTGAAATATGTATGATAAAATGTATACTTTAGTATATAATACAAAGAAAGATTACATTTGAAATATAGTTAAAATTTTAATTGTTGTTGTAATTGTAACCTTTTTATTAAAATAGCAAAAATATATGTAGGCTACATATAAATAAATCTTAGGTAAATCTTAAAAGCTCAATATAAGCCTCCTCTTTAAATTATTTGTATTGTGTTTTATTAGTGACACATTTGGGATATATTCCCAAACTTTCTGTAAAAACAGTATGATAATTAACTGCACAATTACTAGAAATTTTTACATTTGATATTATACAATTTGAAAGCACAATTTGAAAAATAAATAAATAATTGGAACTGTGAACCAATTTTGTATTATATAGGCATATATATATATATAATATATATATAATATATATATATATATATATATATTGTCATTGCATTCTTGTGGCTCAGTGACACACCTGAATGAAAGGGTCATTAGTATGCAGCCCATTATGCGCTCATTATGCGGGCCCATTGTCTTCTCAGGTGTGAATCACAGCAGGTCACACCCCTGCGCATATTGCCTTTCCAAACAAAAAGTGTCATTTTTAAATTTAAACCAATCTATTGTTTTACGGAATGATAAGGCAGGATGATTTTCAGATCATTTTGAAGAAAAAACTCTAGGCGACGACATCCATTAGTCAAAAGTCTTGTGGACAGATATTTAGTATGTGTTTTGTGGCCTTATTTCAGAAACTTTAAGTTTTAGTTTTTTCAATAACCACGCATAAACAATATTCTCTCAAAAATACAAAAATGTACATACATGTTGATAACACATTATGGTAGCCCTGTGTGTGCTAAATAGAGTGTAATTACACCTTTGCCAGTAATATGTTTATAAGCAACTGAAAAAAGCACAAATGTCAGAGTATGTCAAAACATCTCAAGGACCCAAAAAACACCTTGGACCCCAGAGGGTTAAAATCTCCTCATTCTTTGTGCAAGGCTCCTCTAATGATATGGCCTGATAGCACCTAATAGGGCCATTATGGGAGGGTCTTTGTCTTTCTCAGGTGTGAAATGCCATACATATTAATGAGCGATCACGCCTCCTTGCATAAAGCTTTCTCAAACAAAACACGTCATACACATTATAAAAGACTTTATTGACTTATCTGAATGAGTAGTCAGGATGATTCTCACATAGTTTTGGAGCAAATATTCTAGACTATGTGATACAATTTTCAAAAGTCTTGTGAAGAAATAATCAATATGTGTTTTGTGGCCTTATTTCAGAAACTTTTATTTTTAAGTTTTTCAATAACCATGCATAAATAATATTCTCTCAAAAATACAAACATGTACATACATGTTGTTCACAGATTATGGTAGCCCCGTTTGTGCTATATAGAGTGAATTTACACCTTTGCCATTAACATGTTTATAAATAACTGAAAAAAGCACAAATGTCAGTGCATGTCAAAACATCCCAAGGGCCCCAAAAAACCCTTGGTCCCCAGAGGGTTAAGAAGCATTCTATTGCACTTTTCCAAGTAGAAAGTTAGACCAATCAGATAAATGCAAAACCATATTTAAAGAGATAGTTCACCCAAAAATGAAAATTCTGTCATCATTTACTCACCCTCAAGTTGTTCCAAACCTGTTTGAATTTCTTTCTTCTGCTGAACATAAAAGAAGATATTTTGAAGAATACGTGTAACCAAACAGTTGATGGACCCCATAGCATGGCAAAAAAAAATACTATGGAAGTCAATAGGGCCCATCGACTGTTTGGTTACTGACATTCTTCAAAATATCTTCTTTTGTGTTCATACAGTTTTGGAACAACTTGAGGTTGAGTAAATGAAGACAGGATTTTCCATTTTGGGTGAAATATCCCTGTAACAAAGACAAACCATGTCGTAAAGACATGCTGTTTAATATGCAATAAGGACACACACCTGCTGTCTGAGCTCCTCTTTATAGCTGAGTCTGTTCTTCTGCGCTTGATGTCCAGGAAACACTGAAAGACCTGAACCCACACCTTCATTCTCACCCAGAAACATCCTGAAACACACAAATAAAGTGCAAATACTCCTCAAATTAAAATGTGTATTAGCTGTCTGCATACAGGCATATGGTTCAAAAGTGTATCTTTGATGGTGAGAAAAAAAATGCTGAAGAAAGTACCATAGAAAGAACACGTTTTTGGTAATTAGGCTGAGAGTTTGGTCTGAATTGGTGGTAAATGATTTTCAATTAAGGTTACAAGTTTTTGAGATAATGGTGGCACTAATGACCTCTTCCTGATAGTTCACCCAAAAATAGAAATGATGTCATAATTGACTCATTCTGATGTAATTCCAAACTATTTTCTTTCTGCTGTGAAACACAAAAGAAGATATTTTTAAGAATGTTGGTAACCAAACAGTTTTTGTGTCCAATGACTTTTATTGTCAGGTCAATTAGAAAAAACATTTCTCAAAATATATTTTTTATCTTCCACAGAAGAAAACATTTTTGGGGTGAACAACCCTTTTAAGTTGGGATGTTTTGATGTACACAACTAACTTACCTAATTTGTTTGTATCAGCTGGTTCTAACACAAGATCTTCATAAAGAAAGTAGAAGAGTTGTTGCCATTGGTTTGCTGTCATTGTTGTCAGCTAGAAATGTAATTGTCAGCTCTTTAATTAATACATCACAAAGTGACTCTGGAGAAACTGGATATTGTTTGTGTCTAATGCTGCGTTCCAGACAACTCGGAATTGAGATTTTTCCCACCACCTACTTGTAAATAATGCCTGAAATGCCGCACAAAGTCGGACATCCGACCTGTGAACTTGGGTCAGATTAATCAACCCCAACCTCATTTCACGTCACTCCCAAGAATGCGGCAAGTCCTGCTTCCAACGAGCATAGTGTGGAGCTACCTTACGTCAAATGTAGACATTAGACTTTAACATTAGACATTATGCTTATACAATGATACTTTAATTATTGCTTTTTCGTCAGCTGTCAAAGCGAACGGCAGCATTTTCTTTTTTTGCCATATAACTGACACAAAAACATGAAATGCTCTCGTTGTGTCATGGTGACATCATGTGGTCAACATGTGAGCATGACGTTTGACTAACTGGAACTCACTGATGTCGGAAGTAGGACATTTCAACGTGGACGCGAACGTGGCATTATAGTACATGAATCATGATAAATGGAAGAAATTATTTTATTAGATCCAACACTCAGACTGATGCTGGACAACTTTACCTGGTGTTAATGCCTGCTTCTAAACAACCACGAATTACAATCAGAAATGTGTCTGGAAAATTGTATTCGTGAGAGTGTCTGTGTCGGCTGCACTCTTACTGTCTGTGAGTGCTTCTGCTGTGCTCGTTGTGAGGACTGAGTGGGTGTGGCTCTCCTGATGATGTTGGAAAAGAAACTCCCGCTATTGGGCCATCTGTGGAAACACACACACACTCACGATGTAGCAGTGGGAATCATATGCTGAGCGCATTTAAAAACTGGTTTTCATGCTGAATGTATTCAACTGGTTTTGCTGCAGGATCCAGAATACACAACACAGTGCCAACATTGTTTACAGCACCAAAGTAAAGAAAAATGTTTTAAAAAATGTACACTGAAATGCATTAGTGTTGATCAGCCAATAATTTACTGCACAAAACCATGTTCATCTTCATTGCAAGTAAACTTATATTTAATGTAGTCTGTTGGGTCATAAGTGTGTCTTACAGGCTCTGCTGGGGCTCAGCAAACTCTCAGAATCATTATTTGGAGTCTTATAGGCATCTGCAAGGAATGGGACGTGAGTGGGGATAAAAGGCATCCTGTAGAAAGGAAAATGTTTGTGAGTTTAAAGCACAGCATGTGTGAATATGTGTGTTTGTGTGTGTGCACTTGTGTGTATTAATGCATACCTGCATGGAGACAGAGGGTCTGTCCTGTATTGCAGAAGACCCTCAGGAGGATCGGCAGTGTCCAGACGGAAGATGTCATCCCTAGGTTGCTTTCTGTATGTGGATGCCTCACTCACAAAGAGCTGCTTTAAAGGAACAGACCAGAAAATCAACAAGAACATCACCAAAATGTGCACATTCACAAACACACACCTTGTTACCTTTTTCTCAGCATCTGTTACTCTCACAACTCTCAGGTCCAGTTCTTTTTCCCTAAAAACAGTTGAATTACAGGTTGTTTGTGAAAGCTGCATAAACATTCAGCCTACCATCTCTTTTATGATCCATGAAGGAATTAGTCAGGTTTGTAACGTCATGAGGCTGAGTAAACGATGTCAGAACTGTAATTTTCGGGCGAATTATCCATTGAACATTATTTCTTTCGAGGTAATGACGTCAACCAAATACACCGGTAAGACAATTTTGCATGAACACACACCTCCTGTGACTCTGTTTCTCTGCAATTTGTTCTTGTAGTTCACGTCTATAATGCTCCTTTCTCCTCTTCAGGACGGCCTCCAGATCTGTTGCACCTGTCAATCAAATTCAGCCATGTCAGAAGCCTGAGCATCAGTTAATGTCAGATAAAGGGATAGTTCACTCAAAAATAACATTTCTGTCATCATTTACTCACATTCATGTCGTTCCAAACCTGTATGACTTTCTATCTTCTGCGGAACACAAAAGAAGATATTTGGAGAACATTAAAAACCAAACAGTTTTGGGAACGACGTGAGGATGATTAAGTATTCATTTTTGAGGCGAACTATCCCTTTATAATCAAGTCAGAATCATTCTCCATTGAATGAAGTATCACTTCTCCAATTTTTGAGCCAATCAAAACAGTAACAAGGACCTCTAACCAATCAGAATCGCAATACTGAACTGAATTACCTATTAGGATTCCAGTGGTGTAAACTGTGTCCTGACTGGCCCCAGATACAGATCTTTCATTGGCTTGGGTCGCAACGGATGCCGACATTCTACAACAGTGAAAGAGCTATAAATGTGGATCCATTCTGCCATTCAAAATACTAATAAATAAAAACTTGCCAATACTGTAAAAGAAGAAATTGAATCCGTGTACGTGTCTTTTACCTGTTTCTATGCTGTAGTTTGCTCGTGTGATGCCCTGTCTCAGTGTACAATTCTTCTCTTCTTATGAGAAAGACAGAGATAAAGAAAATACCATTAATATATAAAATAAAAATAAATAACATACAAAAAAAACAGTCCATAGAGAACACGAAATGAGTCACCAATTAAAAAAAATCTCTCCCTCTCTCTCTGTCCTCACCTGTTTGCTGTCCTGGTGTCTCTCTCTTTCTGATGTCGTCTCCCTTGTAAAAGTATGAGTTCTTCATCACTGCAGTCTTCCTCAGAGCTACACACACCCCATCCCAGACCACACACCTCTGTAAGAGTGGCCACATTCCGCACACGGACCGTCTGAAAAAGCGAGCAAGCTTTTGGTGAGTGAGAGAGATCTTCTACTTGCATCAGTAATTGAACTTCCGTTTTTGCGATAGCTCTGTATATTGTATGAAGAGTAATTAGTTGGTGAAGTGGATTTACTTCTTGTAGAGTTAATGAAAGTTATCATGAGCAATGTCATGTTCGAAGCGGATGTCCTAACAAATGTCAGAAGACTGGGAAGATTTTAAAATGAGCGGTTCGTTCATAAATCAGTAAGATCTTACTTTCATACTGTGGAAATACAAAACGCAAGAAACAGAACACAACGATCCAGTACTGTACCTTGGGTATTCTTCTTCTCTCTGGAACTGTGTGAATGTCACCAGCATCCCAGTGATCTTTCTGCAAGAGACACAAAGACAGTGAGAAATGAAGATTGGGTCTCATTCACTAAGTGTGCATACACACAAATGTATGTGCAAGCGTTTTCACAAACAAATCATGATTCACCAATAACATATGTACTGCTAACTAATGAGACATCTATAATCTGGGCCTGTATAAAAGGTGTTCAATGTGTATGAACTGATTTTGAGGCACACTTGGCATTGCTTGAGGATCTTTCTGCGTGTGCTCTCAGACAGGGAATATTTAGAGAGCGTCATTTGTTTGCTGAGAGTGACGAAAGGCTTGAAAGGAAAGTGCAGAAAGCCCTTATATGGAAATGGTTTGGACATGTGTTATACAACTGACTTACCTCAAACATGCAGCTGCTCATTTAGAATACTCCAAATCTATTAATATTAGAACGAGGTTCAGAATAAATTCATGTGCTTAAACACGTTTCAAGAGAAGTTCTCCTGTGTGTACAAATATGAAATTATCCATGCAATTACTACTGAATAAGACCCACTGTCTTTGAATATTGATATTTTAAGATCTTAAAGGCACAATATGTAAGATTTTTACGCCACAAGAGGGGGCAGTTTCCAACAATAACAAAGGCTTGGTTGATGACGCAGTGATGAGCTGAATAATGGGACTTGCTGTCAAGCTGATGGATCTAATAATGTTTATGGATGAGTGCAAACATTCATGTTTTTAACATTACAGTGAGTGTTATAAAGCCGGTCGCGATTGCTAAAGAGACAGATATCACACGCGAGTCCCGCGGATATAAAGGAATAAGGACATTTAATTCTACCGAACTACCCGCAAGTGCTGGATTACTCACACAGGTCAGTTTATTAGACGAATTAAACTTGTGAGGTAACGCAGCGCTGCTTCACTTGGTCTAACGTTACACTAAATGGCATTTAAATGTGTGTTGAAAGTTATAACGTTATACTACGTGTTAGTTCGTTTGCTTTACGAAACTAGCAGTGAGCTAGATCAACATTAGAATAACATACTGACCATATTCTAACATTTCATCATGTTGAGCTAACGTTATATAACATTGATTTGTTTTATGTACATTTGCTCACCTGTCTAATAAAGCTGTCAAGTCGTGACTCGTGAAGCTCTGTCAAGTCCAAGTTAGTCGCGGACGTGGAGCTCTCGGCATCTCAAAAACGCCACGCTGATATTGATCCTCATTTTAGTTCTCCTTGTTTGTCCCAAAGTCTGCTTGCCATGGTCTATGTTAAACGTTAAACGCTAAACGTTACGCACTACGCAGTTGTCCACGTCTGTCGCCATGGTTACGTCATGACTATGGCAGTATGAACAGAAACCGAGGATAGCGCGGATATTGCGTGATTGACAGGCGACATTTTTTTCCGGGACGGCCACTTATTTAAAATTGGAATTTCTCTGAAATAAAAAATCTTTGGAGACTTTTGGGATATTGTAAGTACACAACTGCAGGAAATATATCACACTGTGCAAGTGATTTTTGGATATTTTATTACAAAATTCTTACATATTGTACCTTTAATGGGCCTCATTGAAGACATTTGGGACAGGGCGCAAGTGTGCATGCATGTATACTGTAAGTGTGTCTCACCTCTTCCATGTATTTCCTGTAATCTTTCCTGAGCTCTTCTTGCAGTTTGTGTTTCTTTCTCTCATATTCATCTCCGAGCGGCAGACTCAATCCATCTACACGTTGAAATTACACATACACACCTTTAAAACCAGCTATGTATATAACAGAAATTAAATTATAACCTTATTAACAGAGCTGTACCTTGCTGACTTGTGCATGGAGGGATGTTCTCTTTCTGGAGAACACGGCCTGTCCGCCTCTGATACATCAAACAAATGAAACAACATTACAATGACGACCAATCAAACATGCTTTCATTATCCCCATCACCAACTCTCACCCTCATCTCCATGTAAGGGGGCTCCTGTTCCAGACAGGCCTTCTCTTCTGCTATCTTCGTCTTCTGATCTTCAAGAAACTTCTCCAATACCTCATCCATCTGGAATACATACAAATAATAAAGCAAAGCATATCAAACATAAACAGTGCCACCTGTAGATGCATAGCTTATTATTCATAAACAATATATGCAACACTTTACAATAAGGTCCCACTAGTTTATGATAATGCATTAAGAAACATAAACTAACAGTGAGCAGTACATCTGTTACAGTATTTATTTGTCAATGTTACTTAGTAAATAAAAGTACTGTTCATTGTTAGCTCAGCTGCATAAGATAATATTAACAGATATAAGTTTTGATTTTACTTAGTCTGACGTATTAGTAAATGTTGAAAATGAAACTTTAACTAAGATTAATAAATGCGTTAGAAGTATTTTCTATTGTAAGTTCATGTTAACTAATGTTAACAAAAGGAACATTACAGTAAAGTGTTACTACAATATCTATAAAAAATAACTATAGTAACAGTACGTAAAGCTTTATTTATAACATTGTTAACTAAATGTTTTACAGAAGGCATACACATGTAATGAGAGTAGATACAAGAAAATACAATTATTATTAACCATGAAAAAAGAAATTAAACAGAATAAGCAAGTAAAAAATGAAATAAAAAATTGCATATAAAATTCAAAGTTTAGATCAGTTGGTGTTATGACTGCAAATCCATAATAGACAGAATAACATAACATAACAGAATTTCATTGAATCTAATTCAATGACATTGATGTATCTTTAGGTAAGGCATGTATGGGTGTGCAAATACTTATGAACCAGCCTTACAAACTATTACTATAGGAACCATTTATGCCTCGCATACAACCTCTGATGCACACACAACACACCGAGAAACAAAGTGCAATCACACACACACACACACACACACACACCTCTCTGAAGAACTCCTGGTGCTGAAACTCTGAAGTTTAATCCTCGGTTGGCACGACTCTGAATCTGAATACATCTGTTCTTCCACTCCACAAAAGAACCATTTGATCAGATCACACCGATATCAGACATGTTAATAACGTGACTTAAAGTGTGTTGTTTATTTACCTTGAATCTAAGGTATTAGCTGATGCATACTCTATTGCGAACTAATAAACTCAACAGAAAATGTGATGTTACTGTTCTCGTTTCATTGGGGAAAGGGAATAAATGTGTCATCTGATATTTGGTTATGTTCATATATTGGAAATAATCTAAGGTTTTAAATAAAAGGCATATTCATCGAATTTGATTACCCTGAATCTGATCTCTGGCCACCGGTCACACTGGAAAGACATAAACAACAGAGCGCCGTTATCCTGTCTTTCACTTCCGCTCCTGTTTCCTCTCGCTGCTGCAGATTTATAAAACTCTCGGATAGGCGCAGCGTGGAAACGCTGTTCGGTCGATACGTTTTCTCATGCGTTTTCTAGGCCAACCCGGAAAGGCCTTAGAATTATGCTGCGTTCCAGGCAGGTTTTTGAGCACGTAAATCACGACTTCAAACCACGACTCACGACTTTGTAGCGTTCCAGGCCAGTCACGCCAAACTACCTGAGCGCAATATACATACTTATTTTTTCAGACACATGACATTGTATTACATAATCGTGTGTGTATATACATACTTATTGTTTCAGACACATAACATTGTAATACATTATCGTGTGTTTATTATTATCATTATTATTATATTATTATTAATTTGACTGCAACGTTATATTGTCCTAAAGTGTATTCTCACTGTGTACCGCCTGCAGAAACACTGCATCCGTAGGGGCTGCCATTGTTGTTTTGTATGGTTTTGCGGGCTATGTGACGTCAGAACTCGTAACTGGGAGTACATCGATCTAGTACGAGTTCACGGGTGTGAAGTCACGGGTTTGACTGCCGTTCACAGGTATAAGGTTGGAAAAACACGGGTTACAGGTTGCCTGGAACGCGGCATTAGAATAGCTGCTAAAGGTTTTGAATTTATGAGAAAAATATATTTAATTTCCTCTCTGTTTATAACACGCATCGTTTCGTGTGTCTGTGTGTGTGTGTGTGTGTGTCATTTCGGTCAAAATTAAAAAGTCTTTTTCGTATACTTAACTATATGGATTTTTTATAAACTCACTCTTCATGGTTGGTTTATTTAATGTTTAAAATACATTACAGGAGTTTTTCCCACTATTAACATTTCCCCCACATTGTGTATTATGATTTATTATGTTTAGCCTATGTATTATTATGGCGCTCTGTACCCTAATGAAAATGACATTTTAAACTTTTGAATTGATGATAAACTGACCAACTCATATTGAAGGCTAATTTTATAGCTTGCTCTTTATTGTAGCTACTGTTTTGTTTAGGATACTTTTTATGAACACATTTTGCATAATTCGTACGAATTAATGATTGATTGAAAATTACGATTATATTCAAAGGTGACAGGCAATTCCGCATGACAAATTATGTATTAGGTTTCATAGCGTTCTGTAATGAAAATTACAATTTCAAACTGCCAACTTCTTTAAAGCTATTTATTACTAGAATTTGTACTATTTTCTTTGGTTTCTCATTACTGTTGTTACAAAAAAACGTATAATTTAAATTAGAAAGTGATTTAATCGATAAATATTCGATCACATCATAATTAATTATTATTTGCCATGGCCTATATATCTCAACATTATTTTTAATTCTTCAGCCAGTGAACTTTATTCGTCTGTTACAGAGAACGATAAACAATCTATGTTTATTACATTGATCCCGTTATATCTAAAACAACTGCAGTTTATTCTCACGCCCATATAAAGACTGCTGAACTCAATAAACACAACACAACCTTTGGCCTTCTTTGTATTGTGGATATTGTAGTTTTGTTAAATTCCCTTTTATAATATCTTCGTCGTATCCGTCTATGGTCGTATATCGTATGCTACGTCCCAGCCAGTAGTAAATAAATAGGGCACTTAATAAATAAAAGACAACTCAGCCAATTTTTTATAATAATTAGAATGCCTTTTACTTATTATTATTTTTTAAAATAATGTCGTTGCAAGACCTCGAGACCTGTGACGGTTGTGAACAACAATTCCCAGCATGCTTTGTGCTCCCCATAGGGTCACGCTGTGTTACAGATCCGCTTCCGTGTTGTGTTTGTTACTGGAAAACAGAAACTGCGTGAGGTGACATAATTTTCTATTGCCCGTCACTGATTAGACAGCGATGCTTTTGTAAACCGCTGCGTCAGAAGAGATATCTGTTTGGACTATGTCGTTGATTCCGGGCTCAAAGCAGAAGGACAGGCGCATTTTATGCGGGATGTGCCCGGACCCGCAGTGTCAGGCGAAGCTCTTCTTCCCCGCACACACCTCCATGAGCATCGAGTGCACTGAGTGCGGCCAGAGACACGAGCAGAAGAATCTCGCGAATGTGGAGGAAGTGACTGACCCAGATGTAGTGCTTCATAATTTGCTGAGAAATGCTTTGCTGGGTGTGCCAGGCCCTCCCAAAAAGGGCTCAGAGCTGGTGAAAGTGATGGGACTGTCCAACTATCACTGCAAGCTGCTGTCACCCATCCTCACCCGCTATGGCATGGACAAACAGACGGGCACTGCCAAACTCTTGAAGGAAATGAACCAGGGAAACATCTTTGACTGCTCACTTCTTGGGGACCGTGCATTTCTCATCGAGCAAGAGCATGTGTCCACTGTTGGGTATGGACGGGATCGGTCAGGGAGCCTGATCTACCTGCATGACACTTTGGAGGAGATCAAGAAAGCAAACTTGAATAGAGAGTGTCTTATTCCCGTGCATGTGGATGGAGACGGACACTGCCTGGTCCACGCTGTGTCCAGGGCGTTAGTTGGACGTGAGCTGTTCTGGCATGCCCTTCGAGAGAACCTAAAACTCAATTTCAATCAGTACCTTGACCGCTACAAAGCTCTTTTCCAGGACTTTATAGATGCAGCAGAATGGGAAGACATCATTAACGAGTGTGACCCGTTGTTTATCCCTCCAGAAGGCGTTCCTTTGGGGCTGCGAAACATCCACATATTCGGCCTGGCGAATGTACTGCACAGACCCATAATCCTATTGGACTCACTGAGCGGCATGCGCAGCTCGGGCGATTACTCCGCCACCTTCCTGCCGGGCTTGGTTCCAGAGGAGCATTGCAGAGGAAAAGATGGCACTCTGAACAAACCCATCTGCATCGCCTGGAGCAGCTCTGGCAGAAATCACTATCTGCCCCTAGTGGGCATCAAGGGCTTGGCTTTGCCCCGTTTACCTGCTGCGCTGCTCCCGAAAGCTTGGGGTGTTCCTCAAGAGCTGATTCGCAAATACGTGAGCTTGGACCCCAGTGGAAGCTGTGTGATCGGGGGAGACCGGAGCCTGCAGGATAAGTACCTGCTGCGGCTTGTAGGCGCAATGGAGGACGTTTTCATGGACAAGCACGGCATCCATCCCGCTCTTGTCGCCGACGTCCACCAGTACATATATCGACGCACTGGGGTGATCGGCGTGCAGCCGGAGGAGGTCACAGAAGCTGCGAAGAAATCTGTTCAGGAGGGCCGACTCCACCGCTGCCTTGTCTGCAATGCCCTTTCAGAACTCCACGTGCCAGCGGAGTGGCTCATCCCGGGAGGGAAACTCTACAACTTGGCCAAGTCGACTCATGGAACGCTGAGAGCGGACAAGAACTACAGCTTTCCTTTGAATAGTTTGGTTTGTTCTTATAACCCAGAAAAAGATGTGCTCGTGCCTGACTACAAACTCAGTTCGCTCGCAGCCTGCACCTGGTGTCACGGGACCTCGGTGCGACGCGTTCGTGGCGACGGCTCTGTAGTCTATTTGGACGGAGACCGTACCAACACTCGCTCACAGGGTGGGAAGTGCGGCTGTGGGTTCAAGCACTTCTGGGAGGGGAAGGAGTATGAAAATCTTCCCGAAGCCTTCCCCATCACTCTGGAGTGGGCCGGCCGTGTGGTGCGAGAGACCGTTTACTGGTTCCAGTACGAAACGGATCAGACGCTCAACAGCAATGTTTACGACGTGACAATGCGACTCGTCACGAAGCACTTCCCCGGTGAGTTTGGCAGCGAGATCCTAGTCCAAAAAGTTGTGAACACCATTTTGCATCACACTGCCAAGCGGAGCCAAGACGAATACAATCCAGTTGCCATCGAAGGTGCTCACGCGCAGGACGGGGAACACGGGAGTGAATCGGCCTCACGCCCTCCAACTAAAATCATCCTGACGGGACAGAAGGGCAAAACCCTGCATAAGGAGGAGCTGGTGATGAGCAAAACTGAGAGGGTCTTGCAGCACAGCATCAGCGAGCAGGCAGCCCTCTCCCAGCGCCGCAGCACAGACCGCGTGCGCCAGCAGGATCCTCGCCCGTCATCTCCTTCATCTTCATCATCCTCTGCTCCTCCCACGCCCACCAAAGTGCCACCCACCAGCGGAGAGAAGAAGATACGTGTAACAACCAGCGATGGCCGGCAGGCCATGCTCACGCTGCAACCGCACACCACCTACAGTGATCTCCAGAACTCCATCATCCAGGTCTTCAACTTGTCGTCTGGACAGTTGTGCATCCGACATGGCTTCCCGCCGAGAGAGCTGCCCCCACCCCGTCCTGAGGACCAGAACCAGCCAGTGGCACTCCAGCATGGCGACCGCATCTCTGTGGAAGCGCTAAAAGAGAGCTCACCCGATACTCACATGACCCAGACCCACACTCACGCACCACAAACTCACGCTCACTCTGACACACACCTCAGTCGCACCAGTAGCAGGGAACTTCAGGACAACATTGACCTTGAGATGTCATCACTCTGTCTCCTGGCAGCACTCATGGGTAAGAAACACCCTTCTGTAAGTGATATGCTTTATGAAATTACAGTAAGACTGACTGTCTCATACTAGAATCAGCGTCTACATAAGCGCGTTTGTGTATGTGTGCTCTTTTTGTTCCTTTGATGCTGGATTTTATGAGACAAACTTGTCGCTGTAATGTCATAATTCTTCTTCTGTAATTTGAGATTCTGCCCTCTTTCATCAGTATTGTTTACTAGTTTAACTCTGTATTATGCCTAAACCTTGTATGTGAGGCCTGAATCTGTTGATTTGATGTCTTGTCCCTTCCTCTCTCTTTCTGTTTCTTTCAGGTGAAGATGTCTGGTCTTATGCTAAAAAACTGCCTCACCTGTTCCAGCAAGGAGGAGTCTTCTACAATATTGTGAAGAAAGACATGGGTAGTCTGTTATTTTTCCTCTTTCTCACACACAGTTTCAATTCAGTTTATAAAATTCCTATACATTTATAAAATCTATAAAATTTTATAAAATGCTTTATTGGCATGAGACAGAATATTACCACAAGTATTTACAAAAGCAATATTGTCAATAGGATGGGATTTGAGAAATGGTTCTTATTAAAACTGGTTCTATTTTCCTAAATATACAGGATCATTTTCATGGTTCGTTATGTGGAACTGACCCTCTGTTAACCCAGATTCTTGTTTGTTCTGCCACTGGCTGAGAGATGCAATGCAGCCGAGTTAAAAAATAATACAATTTTGATTAAACATTAATTTCTATATATAGTAATAATTATATACATGGGCCTCTATGGTCAGAGAACAGTCGTGAAAATCTTGTGCATTTTTCTAATTTAATTAAAAAAAACATTCATTACAAATTATATTATCAGCATAACAATTGAAGTTAAAGGTTATAAAATACATTTCAGAATGTCTTAGTATTTGGTCTGTCTCTTTTATATTTACTTTCATGACTGCAGGACTCGAGCTGCATGAAAGCCACAAGTTTGTGTAAAACCTGATAGCCATGTTTTCCAGCATTATTCGAGAATGATCCAAAGTGCATCTTGTGCTTCATCAGATTCAAGAACATCCAACCCGTTCACATGATCATTGTCACAAATATAATTAGTTTGATTAGTGACCTAGAAATAGTGCAGAATCTGAAATATTTCTTGTTTAACTTCAGCATTTAAAATATGTTTTTGACTATATTTATATATATATATATATATATATATAAAATACTTTTTCTGATTGTTTTGGGTTGTTGTTTTTTTTGTATTGTTCCACAAAAATGTATATATCGTGATACATATTGTTATCGTATTTAAGGATATAGTAAACATTTGTAAAATTAAATACAATACAATACAAAAAAAATATTTTGACATTGTTTGTACTACCTTAAATTGTTTGTAATTGTGCAAATAAATAATAACATTTGTGGCAAAAATTACAATATAATATAGTATAAAAAAAATTGAGTAGCAATGTATCAATGAAGCAATAAAGTAGCAAAAGTAGCAAACATTTTAGCAGGTGTGTAATATCATAATATATGTTTTTTTTTGTATGAAACTAATATTCTCAATTTCTGTGTTAAGGTCTGTTGGACGGGAAGCACTGCACGCTGCCCCACTTGTCGGGTAAGACGTTTGTGTTCAATTCATCAGAAGAGCGTTTGGAGCTGTGTGTGGACACAGCCGGTCATTTTCCAGTGGGCCCTGACGTGGAGGAGCTCGTCCAGGAGGCCCTTTCCCAACTCCGCTCTGACGCAGCCTCTCGTAGCCACGAGGGAAGCCCCGCCCACAGCCTGCGATTGGGCGCCGGTGGTGCGGTGCGCAAGAAAGAGCAGAACGTCACTGCCTTCCAGGGCAAAGGTCACTCCTTGGGTTCCGCCCCTCCTGAACACCCACCAATCAGGCGGCAACACAGCAGTGGTGTGGATCTCAGCAGCAGCGTTCGCGACGAAGGCTTAACGTTGTCAGGGGAGGATTTGGTGCGCGTGGCCCCGGGCATGCTCACTTTACGTGAGGGCCGCGGCATGGGGCTGGAGCCCGCCGTGATCGAGGCCCAGCGGCAGCGCCTGCAGGAGATGGTCTCAAACATACAGGCGTCCATGGACAAACACTTGCGCCAGCATGCAACAGCAAGGCATGATGGGGAGGAAGAAGAGACTCCTGACAAACAGGAGGAGATGGAGAGTCATGGGGCGGAGCCTCCCAGCAACTTTGAGCCCATGGACCAATCCTGATGCTTCATTTCCCTTACAGCAGAGTGAGCTTCCTGGCATAACACACATACACACACACACACTGTGATCCGACTAACAAATAAGGGTGCAGCGGATTTACTAACGTATGCGTCTTTTTAGTGCAAAACGCATTCCTTATATTCTCAAAGTCTTAAGATGTGAAATTTGAAGTGATTATTTAGGGTAGTGAGTGTTGGCTTTCATCCACTTCAAATATATACATGGTGCACACACTAATTTATTGCAAGAGATAGTTCAACTAAAAGTGATAATTCTGTTATTCCTTTACTCATCCTCATGTCGTTCCAAACCTGTACAACTTTCTTTCTTCTGTGGAACACAAAAGATGATATTTTGAACTGGTTTCGTCCATATAATGAACATTGGACCCTATTGGCTTTCTTAATATGGACAATAAAAAAAACACACTTTAAAAAAAATCAAATTCACAGAAGAAAGTATGTCAGAATGGCATGAGGGTGAGTAAATTATGACAGAATTTCATTTTTGGGTGAATTATCCCTTTAAGATCACCCTTTAGCTTTGCTTGTATGCAGATGCATAGTACTTATATAATCAAAGTGCACTTTGACCCTCATTGCTGGATTCACGGCTCTGTTATCAACATAATTACAACCTAATTCTTCACAATCAAATTTGAAACTTTGACTGTCTCACTGAGTCTAAAGCCCTGTGTGCACTTAGTAGTGGCCGGTGGAACAAACCAGGTGTCAGCTCAGTGATGTAGTCATCTTTTGGACTTCTCTAGCCTGTATTACCCACAATGCATTGCTGTCTATCCAAAGAACACTACATGGGGAAAAGCCTGAAAAAGAGTTCTAGCAGCATTTCACATTCACTTAAACGTCCCACTACAAACTTACGGCTCAGAAACCGCTCACAGCAGGTCAGCATGGAGTATCCGTAGATCTGAGAGCAAGTTTCTGTTCTGAAATCTCCGATTGGCCTTTGAACTCTTGACAATGTTGCTTTTAATGCAGGCCCACAAAAGTCGTTCAGGCTTATTATTTGGTTTTGTTGTGCCCTTTTGCATGTCCTTTCTTCTTTGAACACTGTTCAGTACAAGACAATTCCAACAGGTTTACTTAGTATCGGAATGTAATGTAGATTTTGGCTAAATCCAAATGGAAAGTAGCAGAGTTGGTGATACTTTCAGGATATTCTGATTTCAGCGCTATGGTAATATTGTTAGCTGTGTTAGGCCATAATAAAACGCTGAAGTATAGGGCAAAGTGTGTCAAGGACGGTTTGAGTTCAGAAAAAAATGATATCCACATTCTGTTCTTAACAGATTTTTCTTGTCACCTTGGCAACCGATTCATAGAAACCAAAAACAAATTACAGTAAGACTGATTACTAGAGCTCTTGATCTTTGTGCTTCGGTCACTGGGTAGAACTTAAAAACAGATGGAAAATCCTAGAGATTTTTGAACTCCGTTTATATCTATTGAAACTTTGCTGAGCTGTTGCATTTAACACGATGTTGCCAAAAAAACAAACAGGTGATCAAACCTGTTACTAACAGCCTTAACGAGTCTTCTACCCTCCCCAGCTCTGATCTGCAGTGTTTGTGCGTGACACTTCTCCCAATGGTGCCGTATGACAGAGGATCCGAGAAGGATAAACTGGAGTATTGGAACGAGGCCTGACTTTGGTCAAAGGCCAAGTGAAGCATGATGATGTTAGAGGCCCTGATAAGCTTTTGCTTTTTAAAAGATTTTTTGTTTTTTTTGTTTTTTTGCTGTTGATGTTTTTTTTAAGTCGGCAACATTTATACCAGAGCACTTTTCTGTGTGGGCGTGTTTATTAGCTCTTGAAAATAATTGATATTGTCGGTGTAAAGAAGAGCAGCACAAAGAGATACTTCATGTAACAGACTCAAGTGCAGATTGTTTCTCTGTGACTGCTGCCCTCCTGATATATTGTATTCCAGTGTACAATAGTGGTATATATTGTATTATACTTTCATCTGTACAGATATTGAATCTGTTTTGTTTTTTCCCTTCTGGATTGTTTCTCCTCTGTTTTTCAATAAAACAGTTGGACGTTTCTACGCAGCTGAGGAATCTGCCGTTTGCATGCTTGATTACTTTTCAGCTTAACAACAATAAAGTTATTCCATCTGTATGAAACGATGTGGTCACTGTTTCTGAGTCACTTTCTCACACAAAACTAGTGGTGTTTTCAGTTATCTCTAATAGGTCACAAATGGACCACATCTATTTTAATTAGTGGTAACACTTAACTATTAGGTTTCTGTATACTAACATAAAATTTCAATGAACGATACTTTTCATGTTGGTTTATTTTAAATTCTACACACTGTTGTTCAAATAATATTATGAAACGATTACAAATTAAAATAGTTTAAATGGTCATTTATTTATTGCTGTATTTTCAGCATCACTCTTCAGTGTCGCATGATCCTTCAGAAATCATTCTAATATGCTGATTTGGTGCTCAAGAAACATTTATTTTTATCAATGCAGAAAACGGTTAACATTTTTTGTGGAAACTGATGTTTTTTATTTCAGGATTCTTTGATGAACAGAAAGTTCAAAAGAATAGCATTTATTTGAGATAAATATTTTGTTACATGTTTTTACTGCCAGATTATTTAATGAATCCTGCTTGCTGGATAAAAGTATTAATTTCTTACTGATCCCAAACGTTTGAAGTTGAACAGTAGTGTATACTAATACATTTTTAAGGTTGTAAAAATTAACATTAATGTACTGTGAACAAAGTTGAGCAATAGTACATTTATTAAAATTAACCTAGATTTATAAATGCTGTAAAAAATTGTTGTTTGCTCATTCCTAATGCATTCACAAATTGAGCCTAAGTGTAACGCATTACCTAATTAGTGTTGATAAACTTTTGTCCTCATTATGTCTGAAGTGATCATGATTCTAGTCAGACTGTGAATTACAAAATTACCTTTCATTTCAGGAAATTTTGCAGCAATCAGCTGTGTGCGCCAACGTCCTACACACACAAAAAAGCTAAATAGCCCATAAGAATTCAACAGCACCAAGGGTAAACTAAGCTTCATCATTTAACAGTAATCATACTAGGGTTAAATACAACTGTAGTGACTTTCATAACTTTTAGTTGGTCCTCAATTAAGATGTCATTGCAGGGAAATCAATAGTGCTCCAGTGGTTATAAGATGATTATTATATTCCAAGTGAATTCTCCAAAATTAAAGCAAAGGGCAGCAATCCATTATTACAAACAACAAAACTTAAACTTCCAGTTCCACATAAATTTGAGGGGTTTTTTTATATAAATTGTATTATCCATATGAAGAACACAGTCAGTCAGTGTGTTGACCCCATCCACATAAAATTGAATGACTCGTACAAAAAAAGGGTTTAAATGAAAATCGAAATGTTGTACATTCGCCCTATAATACCTCTTTAATAGCATTTTAATATACTGTATACATACATACATACTGACTCATTTCACATTTAAACACTGTAACAATATCTACATCATTGTAGTCTTTGTGCATTATTAGACTAAATAAATACATATATTCAAACAAATATATTCTTAGGCGAAGGGTGTGATGTTTCCATTAAAACTGCAGTGTAATGAAATTCAAATGTCTTTTAATCAAAACCACAATATTTACATATAGTATTTATTTACATGTGGGGCAGTAACCTAATAGTAAAGACTCCTGATACCAGAAGCAGATTCAATTCCACAAGCTGGCAAGTTACTGAGGCCCCAACCCCTAACCAGGACACCGAACTTCCGTTTATCTCCTCCACAAAGAAAGAGCTGCGTACGGACTGAACGTTTAGTGTCATGCTGTCCTAGTTTCTGCTGCTCTGTGACCCATTTAAAAGGGAAAAGTGGAGCTCTAAGGGTGGATGCATCAGTCAGGATTAAATGCTGGATTTATGGAGCCGATCGAACGAACTGCATGTCCGTCACTACGTCGACGAGAAAGCAGCCGCTTAAGTAATCGAGGTGAACCCGGCACCCCTGACAGAGACGCCCGCCGCAGCAGTTTCAGAGAGCGCCCTCTAGGGATACAAACACCAATGATCCCACAGTACAACAAAAACAAATGAAGAGTTACAAAACATCACAAGCTCTCACCCTGCACAGCCATTACGATTATTAGAAGACTCCTGCATTGAGCTCTGCGCCTCCTGAGTCACGATGGGCCTCAGTGGCTCCTGCTTCTGCACACACATAAACACATACAGTTCTGTTCAAACATCTTAAGGACGTTAGATGCTTTTATATGATAGCTTAAGTGTGCCAGTAGGAAGTTTGGAAGTTTGTTTTTAATGTTACATCAAGCATCACAGTTCTTTTTTGAAGGCCATCTCAGTTTGCAAAAGTAATTTCTGGAAATAGAAAGCCTTTCTAGAAGAAGCTTTTATAGCAACAATGGGAGCATCTCCCTATTAACCACTGTGAAAATGAATTGAATGAATGTACTTGTAGTGTACTTAAAATCTTAGAAGTATATATTTTTAAAACTGTACTTGCATATAATATATTAATGAAGTAAAAGGCCACTTAAGCGTACACTTTAAAGACCCACTCCGATGAAAATAATGTTTTTCTAGGTGTTAACATGTTCTTGTGGCATTTTTCTGATGTTAGAGGACATATCTTGAGAAAAATAAGCTCAAAGTTGTATTTCTGAGTATTTCTAAATTCAAATGGCTGTGAATCAGTAGCAGACGCTAAAATGCCGGCTAAAATAGACTGGAGTTGTGACGTAGTAACTCCACTGGGCGTCTCCACACGCGACGTCTTGGAGTGAAATAATGATCGGTGATAACTTTGATTAACTTCGGATAATAATAATTAACGTGTATATAATACTGTTGCCCCACCGGTATTGGGGGTGTAAGCTAGCGGGAGAGACAGAGCTCTCAGCAACGGGCAGGGGGAGGGTCGTCTCCGTGCCAACGGCTCCGCCCACAACGCAGAGGCGAATTGCTAATGAGCTACTGCCGCTCTGCTGAAGCGAAGTCCCAGAAAACGGCACAGGTTTTGTGATTTTGGCTAAAAATGGCATAATCATAATTTAAAGACTACTGGGAATGTTTAAAAATAGCTCAAAATATGATCGGAGTGGGACTGTTTCTTGAGGCACTTAAAGGGATAGTTCACTCAAAAATGAAAACTCTGTAATTAATGACTCCCTCATGTTGTTCCAAACCCGTAAGACCTTCGATCATCTTTGGAACACAAATGAAGATCTTTTTAATAAAATCTGAGAGATTTCTTTCCATCCATAGACAGCTACACAACTACCACTTTGACGCTTCAAAAAGTTCATAAGGAGATTGTAAAACTAATCAATATGAACTGAGTGGTTTAGTCTGAATTTTCTGAAGAGACTCGACCGTTTTATATGATGAACAGATTTAATCTAGGCTTTTATTCACATCTAAACATTCATCAACTCACACATCAGTTGTGGTAAACGGAAGCTCAAGCATGTCAGCTTGACGTGGGAGAACCAATGAGGTTTATTCTCGTGTTACACAACACGTTTGAGCTTCTGCATGAGGTTTGTTCTCGTGCGTCAAGCAGGTTCAGTTGAGCTTATGTTTATGTTCATTAATCAATGTTTATATGTGAATAAAAGCCTAAATTCAATCTGTTCATCATATAAAGTGATCGAGTCTCTTCAGAAAATTTGGACAAAACCGCTCAATTCATATGGATTTCTTTTTACGACCTCTTTATGAACTATTTGAAGCGTCAAAGAATCAGTTGTGTAGCTGTCAACTGAGGGACATAAAGCTCTCAGATTTCATCACAAAGATCTTCATTTGTGTTCCGAAGATCAACTGAAGTCTTGCAGGTTTGGAACAACATGAGTTATTAATGCCAGAATTTTCATTTTTGGGTGAACTATCCCTTTAAGTACACATTTAAAAAGTGCCCTTTGTAGTCATTTCAAATTAAGTTTTACTTTAAAATACATTTTAAATAATTGCATTTTAATATTATTTTGCCGTGCTTTTAAAAATTACACTTATGTTGACTAACATAATAAAGCACTGTAGCATTATTCTATATCATATAAAAAATTAATTCATTTTAAATGTACTGAATTGCAACTTCATCATTACAAAAGCACAAATATATTTAAATGCATGATATACAAAACTGACATTAAAGTACATTTTAGTTTACCATAAATGCTCGTCAGTACATTCGGCAGTAAGCTTTAAGCATATTTCCAAGACAATAAAAGTAAGTAACTATGAAATTACATATAAAGATGTACTTAAGTCCTACTTAAGAGGGTCAAAAAAGCACTCTTAAATTCAACTAAATGCATTTAATATAAATGTATATAAATGTAAATTATAATACATTTTCATTTAATTGCAAGTTACATGCAATTAAGTGTCCTAAAACATTACATTCATCTTTTAAGAACGTAATTCTTTTTCACAAGGGACACCCATGGTTTTGAAATGAAATGCTCAACTAGCACACACAGGTGTACTGAAAGCCATGTAGTGCATAATTTGTGCACTGAATGTGTTTTGTGCATGAATACCAGAGTAAAGCAGGCTGTGGGCAGGTATCCCTCCTTTCCGTTCTGAAGTCGGATGTAACACCAGTCAGCGTTCTCTTGATACAGCAGCAACACGACCTCACCAGCACGGACACACACCTCTTCATCACAGTCTGCACTGTAGTCTGCTGCCACAACCATCTCACACACAAAAAACATAATTCGATTTCACCATCAGCTTAAAAACTGCTGTATCAAATCAGCATAAGAAAACGGAAAAGCAGCTCAGATGAGAAAAGATGAGTACCATTTCTCCTTCGTGCTTGAATATCACTCTCTTTCGACAAACTGTAAGATTTGATAATTTTGCTGTAATTATAATGGTAAATTTAACAGAAATTATCAAAAAAGAGAGCATGAAAAGATGACTGACCTTGAGGAGACAGCACAGTTGTGAACACTTCAAACTCTTCATGGCTCTGCGTGTAGATTTGCTGCATGATGAAGTCAGACAACACACAAACTCTGAATGTACCTACAGTGTAAGAAGAGCTGAGATACTTTATCGATTCCTTCAGAATCACTGCTATTGCTAAACCTTCTCCTTCCTTTAAATACTCTCTTAAAGACGCACACACATTAGGAGATCTTGGTTAGGTGCTTTTCTAGGAAGCTTTAGCACTCTTAAATCTATTTAAATCTGTTCCACTTCAGTTGATTAAATGCTGCAAGTAACAGCTTTGATCAGCCAATCACACACTTCTAAAAGTCAGCTCTCTGCACTTACAGTAACTCACTCAAACCTTTAACACATGACACCACACTTCACATTCAACAAAACAAATCACTTTCAATGTTATTAGCCTGTAATACAGTAAGATATATTTGAAAAGGTATTCTGATTTCATTATCTTTCAAGCAATAATCTGTACACTGCATTAAATACAGTTTTTTTTTTTTTTTTTTTTTAGCTCAGTTTCAAATAAAATCAGTTGCGTGGAGATCAGTGAAATTCTGAGTTCTAGGCCCACATTCATCAGCTGGGCCATTTCTGACCATTTTGTATCCCCAAAGGAGATCTGAGATGACTGGGAAAATGTGTTCCTATCAACTAGAATTCACCCTATATATAGAGCGTTGTTAGATAGCAATACATTTTCACAGGTTTCGAGTGCACAGTATCCAAATCTAAACACGATGGTTGCAAATTTCCTAGTTTACTTAGAGACTTCAAGTTGCAATTCCTCACTAAGTAATTAATTGCTGTAATTTATTAACTTTTTCCTTGAAATGGTGACTGATGCAGTCGAAAATGATGTAGGTTTTCTGGACACCTGTTTTTTAAAATATTTTAAATGTTTTTCAACACTTGTGTTATTTCAGTTGCCGCCATTTTTTTTTTAAATAGGCCAAAACAATCTTAATATACACAAAATATTTGAATATCTGATCACCGACTTTCTACTAACATTTTTAAAACTATTTCTTTATGCTAATATTCAGCTGCTTAAATGCAATTAGCACGTGGCGAATTTAGTTATGTTAACACACTGTAAAAACATTTTATTTTATTACTTAAAAAAAGTGTTTGTTCCATCTTAAAATTTTAAGTTCAGTCAACTCAAATATCCAAGTTGTCACTGTGTACAATTTTCACATTTCAAGTTGACTAAACTTAAAATTAAGGCAGCACGAATACCTTTAAGTTAAAACCATTTTTTTATTTTACAGTGCACGTTAATGGGGTGTTGAGGCCATTTGGGGCGCTAACTGGTGCCCCCTGGGCAACTGCCTAGTTTGCATATATGCCAAGAAACAGCCCTGATCATCAAAAAGTATTATGGCATTTGCATTTTATTGCATGCATTGATATTTCAGAATTTCATTTTCAGAATTTCTGTGAATTCTTTCAGAATTGCTGCATGGCCATTCAGAAAGAAAAAAAAACTCAATCGAAAAAACAAATGCAATTGAAAGTCTAATCCTGATTCTTAGATTAGACTTATTTAAATCCAACCTGCCTAAATCACTCTGAATAACAAATCAGCCTTAAGAGTTACAGTGAATGGAGAGTCTCAGTACTGTGTGTGTATACAGGGTGGTTTAAATATAATTACTATGATGATTATGTTTAAATAAGTTGACGACATATTAAACACAATATTTAGATTGGTGTACAGCATATAGTATCTGATTGTGAGTGTGTTATAGTTCTGTGATTCAAAACTTTAAATCCTTTCTCGCTCAAGACAGTGACATTACTGTGAAAGGATTAAAGTTCAGAGAGGTCAGTTTGTTCAGATCAGTGTCTCTGCTTACATAATGAAATCAGCACAGCTAATCTGAGGCTGTGCTTCTGCGAACACCATCAACATGTTAAAATGTCCTTCAAGAGCTCAGTAAAGCTTCATGGATGCAGCAAACAGACCGGTCAGATCTTCTTCAGTGTGAGCTCGAGGAGACAGTTTAGTTACCCGCTCCTGTGAAAAATACACAAAAACAAACTCAGTAAATTACTCTTGAGATAGTTTTAACACATATAATAATATAATTATTTTATTTACTTAATTATGAAAATAACTAGCATGATGTTATATGCGTTTGAGTGTGGTATTTTAAGCCAGGGCTATAAAACATGAATAAAATACCATATTAATGTATTTCAAATACTTTGTTATAATGCTAAAATTGAGGCCATTAAAATAGGCATTAATGATGCAGTTGTACATTGCATAATTTTGCTTCATACAATTTAATGTGGGAGGGACAATTGGTGGACTTCCTGTTGATCTCATATTTTAATGTTATATATATGAAGACTTTAGATGCAAAAGCCTACAAGTCCGTCTAACGCTTTTCTTTAATATTAACATTTTTATCAGGCTCCTATGTGTAGGTTTCTACCTAAGTACCGGCATTTCTGTATAAGCTGAGGCTGGGATTTAGTGAGTTTGAAATGAAAGTATTTGATGAACGTATACTATGTGCGGACTCGGAGAGCATTCACTCAATATTATTATCTCATTTTTGACAGAGGTGGCTTTTAGAGGCATTTGCATCGTAGGTCTTCATATATATATATATATATATATATATATGTATATATATATATGTATATATATATATGAAAGTCTATTTATATATATATGTGTGTGTGTGTGTGTGTGTGTGTGTGTGGGTAACACTATTTGTGTCCTTGTTACACGTTACATGTAGTTACAGTAGTAATAACTATAAACTATGCATAATTACATGCAACTAACCCTACACCAACTCCTAATCCTATAGGAAGTACATGTAGTTCATTATTATAACTCAGTACTTAAATGTATAATTACACTGTAACACGGACACCTTAAAATAAAGTGTACCCTAATAATAATAATAATAATAATGAACAGTCGCTTTAGCTGAAGGAGCTCAGCCCTTTAAGATGCCATATTTCTCTCTTATTCTCAGGTGTTGGGGGATTTTTGGTGTAGCAGAATTTCAGCTTTAAGCAAAAAAATTATCTGTAGCACTTTAGTGCAGGGACGTGACATGATTTGTTGACCTGAGGGATGGTGCCCTTCACCAAAGATGGAATGTCTTCTTTAGTGTAGCCAATTGCAGACAAGCCGTCCTCCACTTCTAGGTCATACAGAAACGACCTGAGAGTGTCCGCCAACACGCGGCCAGCATCATCTTTCTTGATGTTACTCAAATCAGTACCTTATGAAACACATACACATACCATCATCAATTCAATCTTACAGTGCTCTCAAAAGCAGCATTTTCTATAAAATCATCCACAAATTACAGTGAATAACACATAATCAATGCACCTCACATCCGTTTTACACAATAACCATGTCCCTTTCCAATACAGCAACCCAAATGAATACACTTTTGAACTTTTCAGAAAGTTACATTTTAAATCTTCATAAGCTACTGTCAAATTACAGTGTTAATAAATATTTGAAAATTTTGAGATTGGCCTTCAAATTGTGATACCTAGTATTTGTGCTGCCTCCAGGTGGCGCTCAGGACACATTTTTCCAGTGAAGGCAAAAACAGCAGGTGAAGTAAGAACTACAGAGAGTCCGTGGGGCTGAAAGAGAAAGGCAGTTAAACTATAGCGTGAAAAACACTGGGAATCCGCCACGAACAAAAAAAAACCTATTAGTGTTAGTACTAGAATTAGTACTATTATGTATTACAGAATATATAATTGTGATATTGCATGTATTAGGCTAGAAACACACTATCATTAAAAAGTGACAATAAGATTTTTTTAAATGTTTTTTAAGTCTCTAATGCTCACCAAGGCTACACTTATTTTATAAAAAATACAGTAATATTAAAATATTATTACAAATTAAACATTTTCCGTTTTAATATATTTTAAAATTCTTATGATGGCAATATTGAATTTTCAGCAGCCATAACTTCAGAATCTGATTTGGTGCTCAAGAAACATTTATTATTATTACCCAATTGTATTGTATTTTATTTCCTTTTATTTTGGAAACAGTAATACATATTTTCAGCATTATTTAAAGAATAGAAAATTCTAAAGAATAACATCTATTTGAAATAAAATAGTTTGTAACATTATAAATCTCTTTACGGTCACTTTCTCTTTTTATTTAAAATAATCATACTGACCCCAAACTTTTGAATGTAGAGCAGTTTATATTTACCACTATAGGATGTTCCACATTGTAGCCTTTAGCCCTGTGAGTTTTAACATTCCCGGCAATGGGATATGACATTCCATGACTTGAACATAAAAAAAGAACAATCAAAAAGGCATTATCAGATAATTTCCACAAATACATATCAATAGAAAAATAGAACTATTGGAAGCACATCATTGTACAGCTGCAAAATCTCTATGCCTTTCCTTAAACTCTCACAGCAATACATTCAGTCCACCTGTGCTCTCTGTTCTGATATGTTCAAATATGGAAAATGATGGCAGTTTAGCACTAGCAATTCCATTAGCAGTCTTTTAATTGTGTTGTGATTCGATGCTGCCAGAATCAACACTTTTTGATGTTAATTTAATGTTAGTTCTCTTTAATTACCATAAATGGACTCCTGCATTGCCAAAGCCAATTCCGGCAAACACACTGGCCAGGTGCATACTGGTGCGAGCCTCCACATCTCCGGCATCACACACCGCCCTACAACACACAAACATATTCATATCTTAACAATATTACATATAAATATAATGTTTTTAAAATGTATAAAAATAATGTACCCAAATATTCAATAAACCACAAATAATCACATGACCTCACTCAACATACCGTTTCAAGTATTTGGCAACGATCATGAGAGCGTGTCTTGCCCAGACATCACTGATTGGATTGCTGCCCTGGTAAGCAGGGCGATTTATGGGGTTGGGTGGGCAGGGACTTCTCAGGTTATACGGCAATGCAGTGAATGACTCTAATGCATGACTAAAAAGAGAAAGATTTCAACCAAACACTATGAATATCATAATCTAAACATAAGATTTTTTTTTTTTAACTAATACTTTTATTCAGCAAGGATGCATTAAACAAATCAAGTGACAGTAAAGACCTTTTTAAAGGTGTAAATGTAGCACGGTTTCCACAGAAACTGTTTTTTACATTGATAATAATAATAAGTTCTTGAGCACCAAATCAGCATATTAGAATGATTTCTGAAGGATCATGTGACACTGAAGACTGAAGTAATGATGCTGAAAATTCAGCTTTGTCGTCACATGAATAAATTAGGTTAATATATAAAAAAGTGATCTCCTTTTATTCAAAATGTTAAAAGCACCAAATGGGAATATAATAGAGCAGGTTTGCATAAAATGAGCCCAACCAGAAACTATCAAATCAGTGCTTTCTGTCAGTATACTTACATTTTCTTGCTGTACACTAAAGGAATTTATCTTTAAGTGATTGCCTTGGTTTGTATATGGTAAATAAGTAAAGTGTACATGTAAACACACACCAGAGCACGTCAAACCCACTGTTAGCTGCAACTCTGGATGGCATGTGAAGAGTATGTAGGGGATCCACCATCCCTAAAGCAGGCTTTAATGCTCGATTTGCAATACCTGAAAAGACACACACATTAAAGTGTTAAACTCACACAACAAACAAAGTACAAAGAACTCAACCTCTATCATTACACCTTAACTATTTAACCATTATCTCATCTTAAACCTCAGTACTCAACCTTTCAGAATTCTGTATCTAGCATACCGAGAACAGAGACGAAATGTTAATGAGTAAAATGTTTCAGCAAACCAGTTTTGGCCTTCATGTCCTCAAAGTCAAAGATCGCCACTCCTGTGGTTTCACTCCCCGTTCCAGCCGTAGTAGGAACTAACACATGCACAGACATACAGACACACAAAATGTAAATAAAAAAATAAAACAATGTAATGTAAACTTTAAAGTAAATAGAAGGTTGGTCTGTGGTCAATGTTTGGTCTCTTCAGCTGTGGTCTGTAGTTATATGCACATGCTAAATGTTCACCATTAACAAGAGAGAGAGACAGAAAGGAAGAAAAAAAGTAATATTAAGTTTGGCTCTGTGTATGTCTTTGTACCAGCGATTAATGGCTTCAGTGTGGCTGTGATGGGTTTTCCTTTTCCAATTGGGGCATTGACAAAGTCTAGAAATTCTGCCTCTGGATGAGATGCATAGAGATTGGCTGCTTTACAGGTGTCAATCACAGAGCCCCCGCCCACAGCAACATACACATCAAAATGTCCTTTTTTGGCAAAATCAATTGCTGCTTTAAAGCTGAAAAGAGAAAGAGAAGTTGCTTTCACTCACTTCTGTGTTCTGTTTATAATCAGAAACACTTATAATGTCATCAGCAAAAACGGACAAAAATCAGCACATTTTCTGTCACATTTTTTTTAACCTTTTGTCGGTTGGTTCTACTCGCACATCCTCATAGATCTTGTATTTGACTCCATGTTTTGTCATTGAGTCCAGCACTGCTGCAACCGGCGGCAGGTGAGACAGGGTTTTATCTGTCATCAGACACACATTATGTGCTCCCATGTTCTGCAAATCCTGATTAAATCAGCCAAAACAGCACAACCAATGACTGACAAATCCAAAACAGGACTGACTTGAAGTGAGGAGAGAGAGCAATAAGATGAGCTATAATAAAACCTAATCAGTTCAATGCTTACAAATGGCGTTCATAAAAATACATTAGCAACTTGAGTGTGAGTAAATGATGATACAACTGTAATTTTTGGGTGAAAAAAACAAACAAAAAAGTTACCATGCCAATTTCTCTGGTAACTCCTGCTCCAAATCTGATATTTGAACAAGCCATCTGAAATAGGACAACAAAAAATGAAATGAATAACCACAATAACAATAATATTATTATTATTATTATTATTATTATAGACCTATGATGTTATGATTTTATTCCTGGATATTCACAGGCTTGCAATTATAATCTGACATCTCTTCGCTTGCCTGACTGACATTCATTAAGAGAAAAGTATTTCACTATAAATAAGTGCAAATTATTTAACACAGTATTTTAAAAACTATACGATAAGTGGTAAAACTATATTCCACAATGCACAATTACATAATAAATGCATGCATGTGCTTACTTCAAATGCGTAGTCTGTTTTGCGTTCACATATATGAGCCTCACCTGCAGATACTACACATATGAAACACACACACTCAGATATTAGTTCTTTTATACAGAGAAAAATCTCTAAAATCTCTTATTCTTACCTCGGTTATAAGTGTGGGAATACGCTTGAGAATGAGCGGGACATCTGCACCTATAAAACATAGCATGCAAAAAATACTACTGAAAATAGATACTAATCTATATTACTTTATTCTGTGTAAAACAAAAAGGAGGTGCTTGCCAGGACGACTCAGTAACCATTCTGGCGAGAGAGGAAAAAAATGCAATAAAAGTAGGCCTAGCCCTAAACGGAGACTATATGCTGTCATTCTGCCTAATATCTTCTTTTTTTCCAAATAAGAAAAAAGTCATGCAGCTCTGAAACAACTTGAGTGTGTCAGACTAAATTATGGTGGGGGGTGAACTATCACTTTAAGGGTTTGTTTACAACTCTCAGGGCATTGAGTACAGACAACATTCTTAGCCTATACACAAATATAAATATTAAAGTGCACAGACTATAAACACACTTTAATATCTTAACGATGAAATGAACTGAAATACTGAAACTTACGCCGCGCTCGCGAGCTGGCGCATCAGATGAGCGACTCTCTCACCGCCTGCCATGATTACTGCTCGTGCCCTCTAGCGCGCGCCCGCAGACACGTCCGCCACCTGCTGACAGGTATGCGCTCATGAGGCGGAAACATTACTGTGTGTGTTGGCAAGTGTCTGAAATAGACTATATGGTGACTTTTATTCCACAAATATCTCTCTCTCTCTCTCTCTCTCAGAGAGAGAGAGAGAGAGAGAGAGAGAGAGAGAGATATTTGTGGAATAAAAGTCATAGCTTTTATTTTGAAGTAAAAAGATAAAATTAGACCCTTGGGTAAAATGACCCTCCCCCCAGAATTGGCACGAATGACCCATGGTTAGCTGTAAATAATGTTGTTATTTTAAAATGTAATAATTATTGTAATTAATGGGGTTATTATTCAGTATTTCACTATTTCCATGAATTATATGTAATTACATTTCAGACATCTCTGCTTTCACTAAAACCTATAAGTTAGTTGAGTGAAATCATTAAATTGCATTCATAGTGTTGCTATTATGACACATCTTCAAGTAAATATTCAAATGTCTATATATATTTCGTAGAATAATTTTACCTTTCAGATTAATCTCTTTTACTGGAATTCCGCTTTGTCTGTCATCGGTTATTCAATTATTATCAACCGAATTGTTAAAAAAAAATTTTTTAATACAATAGTTTTAGTATTTTATATAGATTACACTTTAACAATATATAAATATAATAATGATATCGAAAGTCATTTAAAGCTGCAGTCCGGCATTTTTCCTCTTTGTCGCCATCTCTGTTTGAAATCTGTAATTGCAGTTATTCGCGGAATTATTAACTTTGCGTGAGTTGCACATCGGCATGAAACAGCGCGGATGAACACAATGTTTTGAGACTGCGAGTCTGTCAGTCACCGCGCCGATGTGGAAACTGGCATTCAGAATCACTCACACATTCTACTTTTGGAAGTAGGCCTACAGTATGACCATGACAACATACGAATTTTCATCGGAAAATGTCATCTGAACAAGTAAGTAACATCCACATCAACTAAGGGGGGAAAGCCTTGCAGTAAATCGTGCTGATTAAATATAACGATCGCCAGGGGCGTCACTAGGCCCTTTTTAGGGGGGCTTCAGCCCCCCTAAACTTCTGCCAAGCCCCCCTAAAAATGTGAGATTAATGTAGGCTACACAAATTCGTGTTCGCTTCAGTCTTGTTATAATCAGATTCAGCACGTTCTCAATCCACAGCTGCGCCGTGCAGAGAGCACGTCAGAAACAGAGGACAGGGTGTGTGTGTTCATTTGTGTGTTCATCTGAGCCTCATTGGTCTGTCACTGCTCGTCAATGTCAGAGACGACCAATCAAATCAAAGTAGGCGGCCTTTATGTTCACAGACGCTGCTGAGCGCGAATTTTAACAGTGCGACACGACCATTTTTTACAGTCTATGGACTCGACGCGTACGGTCAAGTGCGAGATAAGATGTAAGTAGCTAAACTTAACATTTCATATTTTACTTTTTTTAGGTCATAAATGTTAAACGAATGACAAAAAATAATCAGGCAAACTAATATAGTTTTGTCTAATTTCGCCATTTTGAACTGAAAATAGGCCTATACACTCGTGTAACTCATGTAATGTAATAATTAGTTTACAAGAAACATTAACAAAGCCGTTTTCATCATGTTAGGCACAAGATTAATAATGAATGTGTACATATTGAGAATATAATACAAATTGTAGCCTTTAGTAAATTAAAAAAGCTCAGCTTTAGGAGGGGAAGAGAAAGGGAGGAAGAGACTGAGAAAAAAAGGAAGAGTGATGGAGATGAGAAGAGAGGAGGTATTGACAAATAATCTGCCCACTGACATGGTTTTAAAGCTATTTCTTATCCTTTTTTTTGGTCTTCAAACGTCTTGAAATGCACATATCAGAAATAAAAAATTTGAACCCCCTACCAATCTCAAATTTAGGACCTCTGTGATTATAAAGCCCTGTCTACGGCCCTGTATTAGGCATAAGATCAATAATAAATGTGTAGCCTACATATTGTGAATGCATTTAATAAACTTAATTAACTTTAGTAGCTTTCAGTAAATAAACGCGTCTGAGAAAATGATTCATAGGCAAAATCAACCTATCAGTTGACCCTATGTTTACTTTCTTCACTGACAGACAAAAATGAAAAGCCTATATCAGTCAAAGCTCAGCTTTAGGAGGGGAAGAGACAGGGCAAGAGAAAAACAAAGAGAAAAAAAGTGATGCTGCTGATGAGGAGAGAAAAATTGTCAGCTGCCCACTATCCAAGTTTTTTGGCCTTCAGAACATCTTAAAATGCACATATGTAGATCAGAGAAATCAAAATTTTCTCGGGGAGACCCCAAACCCCCCTATTTGCCCTGCCTCACATTTGGGACCACAGTTATTATAAAACCGTGCCTTTGCATCGTAATGAAAATGGTTAATAGTGATCTTTAGATCCTAAACTAAAGTGTTACCTTTTTTTATAATTTGTTTAAAAATCATATTGGGGGCTTAGCCCCCCTAAAATGAAAATCCTAGTGAGGCCCCTGACGATCGCGTCAAACCTTTCAAATTATACTTTGTTCTCAAATTATCAACATCAGCATTGTGACTACATTTAATGTGTATTATGATTACCCTGTAGTTCAGTTTCTATTTCTATGCAGTCTAATTTCTAATTGTCATACCAATAAATTAATGTTTCTTTACTGGTTTTCTTTGAGAAAAAAGAAAAGAAAAAAAAACACGTATCTGTAATCCGATGCATATTTAAAACTATATATAATTTCGGAGGAGGCCGGTTTGGTTTGCTTGGAGTAGAGGTGAATTGCTCCCTCTCATAGCTAGCACAAAATATTTACCATAATAGCTAAACGAATAAAGACAGGAAACTCCGTAACTGTGTGAATTAAGCGAACAAGTGTGCTACTGTTACACGATTGAACTATTGAAATGTCTTACCTGTCCTAAAAGAAAAAAAGCCGTCTCTGCGTCCGTTTTGAACCGATGTTTATCCTTGTTTTCGCGTGGGCCAGTTGCAGTCTCTTTTTTCTCTAACGTTACCCACTCTGAAGTCCGAATTATTTGGGGTTTTACAAGTGGTGAATGTCCAGTTGTCACTGGGGATTGTCGTTTGAACCTTTCTGTATCCGCCATAAGTTTAATTATTTAATGCTGTGAGAAAAGGCTAAAAATGTCCACCTCCAACATCCTCACGCAATATAGCCGACTAGCCGGGACGCCTTCTTTATGTGTACAGATGTGACGTAATTACGCAAAGACATGCTCGAATTTCCTGCGGAAATCCACCAGTACCACTGGAATTAAAATCATTATTACAAGCTAACCGTTTTGAATCGGGCAAAAGCAAGCAGATATTTTTGAACACTGGCTGGTTATGTTTTTTTTTTTTTTATTATTATTTTGGATAATTTTTAACCCAAAAAAGTTACGGACAGCAGCTATAAACATTCTGTAAAAGTCTGGGGCTTCTTACCCCAGGGGGACAACTTACCCCAGTAGGGGCCATCTTACCCCTCTTTTAATATTTGACTGCTATATATGCTATATTTTAATATGTTGTGCTAGAACTAAATTAGCGAATGTTTCTATTTATTTCCTATAATAACACATTGGCTGATGCATCATCATCCTGCATGCTAAACATTCTAAATATGTTACAATTTAAAAGTAAATCCACATTGTTCTTAAGGGGGGCATCTTCCCCCATCCATCCCCTATATTTTTTACACAATAGCAGGGCAGATTGTCACTGTATGACTTAAATTGTCACAATGGGAGCTTAAACTAATATGCTTTTCTGCAAAATTTGCTAAATTAAAACAACAAAAGGAATTATGAACTTTATGAAGTAGGCTACAGTTATGAAGTACTTTTTCGTTAGTCGCCATTTATTAGGGTATATATAGCATACATATTATAATAGCCTAATTGCCAGTGTTTTATACAACACTTACTTTTTAATTAATTTTGTTAAACTGTAAGGTGTGGAGCAACTGTTTGTGTTTCACTGACTTTATCAGAACAGCTTTTCTAACAAATTAACCACTCTGAGATGGCTAATTAATCTGTCAGTAATAATATTATATATATATGTATATATATATATATATATATATATCCCAGAATAATATAAATTATCAGGAACTCAGCACAGCAACACATCTAAATAAAGGCAACTATTTAATTTCTTGCCGTTATTAAACACAAAACTAATCTAATCCAAAAACATTCTAATTCTCAAATTTCTGAGAATGACGTAAACTGCCCTCCCTCGGCGTCAACAGCAGTCTCTCAATCTACCATGGATTGATTCCACGAATTAAGAAAGCCCCGGTAAATTCCATAGACAGTAAAAGGGTAAATTCAGAGGAGACTGCCTCTTGAGTCAATATACAGTGTACTAAACACAGGACGGAATCCAAGAGTATTTTCATTTTTTACTTACTTGAACCGCAGCCAATTATTCCGTTACTCATTCTGGTGACTGTCATCTCCGAAATCTCGCGTCATATAAATAAACTCCCAGCGATGGTCGCGCTACACCGACGACAGCAGACTCTCTCAAACATCCGGAGAACACCTGAGGTGAGCATGAACTCAACACACGCCTACAAAAGACTGTGAAAAATAATAGCCTACATTAAACATTAGAAAGCATTTTTACAGTGTGCGAAAGTCATTCTTTCACTGAAGCTGAAAATGCTCTTTGGAATTCCATATTAATATTCTCAATTTATTATGCCGGAGAACATGCATCAGTTTTTGCAAGTTTTGCAGTTGTATCATCTGAGGTGATGCTGTCATTAAAGAAAAATACTAAATAAATACCAAATATATTCTCAAACTTTCTTTGTAATAAAAACTTTGTATTAAATAGAAAAATGTGAAATACAAGACTTTTCACTAGTCATAGCTAGCAATAGGCTACTTTAGGAACACGTACATATGTAGCCGTATTAGATTTTTATTTACATTAGGAATATATAGCCTAGTACAAACGTCCAGGATTCCTGGACGTTTGTATCGCCTATTGTAGCCTGCTGTATAGCCACCCTTCTATATTTTGTACTGCCTACTGTACTCGTATTATCGTATATTATTCAGATTCCTGGGAATTTCCCTCAATGAAGCTGCACGTACTACTCGCTGCGGTGTCTCTCTGGGTCTTCGTCTCGCTGTCTGAGTCCGCTCCTGGACACACAGACACGCAGCTGCCAGTTCTGATGCGTTTGGGAGAGGAGTACTTCATTAGACTGGATAATGCCGTTCACAGCCCGCGCGCGCCCGACCGGAGAACCCCGTCCCGCGCCGAGGCTCTTCAGCTGCAGCTCACGCAGCGGCTAGGAGGTAAGATCGGTAGTGTCGGTAACGGGATCATGAACAGATTCGTGGAACGTGAGCGCCGGTCTGAGGATCCACATCCACCAATCTCGCTGGATCTGACTTTTCACCTGTTGCGCGAGGTGCTGCAGATGGCGCGAGCCGAACAACTGGCCCAGCGCGCGAGCAACAACCGCAAAATGATGGACGATTTAGGAAAATAAGAAAACGAACTACACAAGCATGTTTTTAATTCAATTCCTAAAGTAATACAACACATGATTATGGTTTACCCACGTGAATACTTTGTGTTTGGTGTCTTTTTATCCAGTTTGGCCTTTTCCTACTTTTCCTACCTTTCAATGTATAAATCGTTTTCCTATCTTTAAAAGTTTTCCCCCAGAAACAGCCATTATTAACATATACAAAAGAGAATGTTTATACACTTATTCATAATCCTTTATTTTGCATTTTAGTCAGCAACTTCAGTAAAGATTGTCATCATTTTATATTTAACAGTTGTGGTTTTTACCTTTTCAAATTCCTATCTATTCAATATATTTATGATTGTCAAAGTAACAAAATATTAGTTATGAAGAACAACAGGTTTTTCTGGAAGGTCACTGGGATGTTGCAGGGTTACCAACTGAATTTATTTTGGCACATTTAACCAGGAAAAAGAGAAAACATGGCGTGGTTCATCCTCAGATGTCTGGCTGGGACCGGCAGTTACCTAAATGTATGGGAAAGACAGAGAAAGAGAGATGGATAGACAGATACATAGAGACAGACAGACAGAACAAAAGTGGTTTGATAGTGATTTGTGGTCAGAAAACTCTACAGCATATATGTGGTCATATGAAATAATGTCGAAATGACTGGAAGGGTCACGAATGGGCAAGGCAATTTTCACTCGTAACTCAGGAACAGGCTGTTTTCATCTTCAAGGTTCAGATGTCTAGCAGCTCAGATTTTGAAGATACCAGCCTGTTTCTTATATGTTTTAATCACAGGGACATTCTAATGATGGCCAGCCCCAAGTGGACTGTTCGTATTCTGTATGGTTTTCTTTAATTCTGTATTTCTGAGGGCACTTACTGTTACAGCCAAACCTCTTTCTGATTCTAAAAGTAACAAAATTTAGCTAAGCCCATGAGAATGATATTGTGAAATAATAAGGCCATAAGATATATGCTGTGTCTGAAAATTTAGGTCGCTGACGTGTCAAATGATCTACAGCAAAATAGTTTAGGTTTGGTGATAACTAAGCAAATATTTAATTACTATAACTATAATATTCTTGCTAGAAATGACATCAGAAGTTGACAACGTTGGTTGCAAATGGACACTTACACACAAACTGACCACCAACCACAACTTTCAGACGCCATCTTTCTTTTTCTAGCTCAACTGTAACAAAATGGAAAGCACAGGATTGTGGGATATCAAAGGCAGCGAAGGATACATCTATGCTGCCTTCAAAAATAGACCAGATGAAGGCATTTCAGGAGACAGGAAGTGAAGCTAACATTGGATTCTGACGTGCATTGATGCCTTCTTATGCAGCCTCCAAAGGCAACATTTTTAAATGTTCGGACACAGAAATGAAATCAATGCATGTTCAAAATTATAATTTTGCAATATAATTAGCTGAATTTTACAGAAATGTTTCACTGAAACTTTATTTGACAAAGTTAAATATCACTCATTTTAAATCCCATAATATATTTAAAATGAAGAACAAATGAGAAAAGTGTCCATATTTTGGTGTCTGGGGTCATGTGTTTGAATCATAAGGTATAATCTCAAAATGTAAGCTGATCCCAACACAGCAGCTGCTGCTTTATGATCCATAATGTCCTCAGATTCCAATTGTGTCTTCCACAGTGTCTTAACCTTACAAACATTACTGATCAATCCTAAAAAATATTATTAAATAATCAAGGCATCACAAATATGGATGAGATTAAAAGAGGGAGAAACCCTTACCTGAGCTGGCGCATCTGTAGAAGGGTTGTGACTGGAGTCTGGAGTGGGCGTTAATAAGGGCGTGTTCTCTGCCGGGTTGATTTTCACTGATTGGTTGGGTTTTGATGACATTTGGGAGGAGTCTGTTGTCATTGGTGGGGGGTTCGGTACAGGTGTTTGTCTCTGCGGGGTCTCAGGACTAACAGTACCAGCTAATTCTTCATCATCATCCTCTTCATTGTCGTCACCATCTAAGTAAGAGAAAAATACCTTATAAAGAGACAGATTCCAATAAAACCTTACCTGACAATTTAGGTTAGGATTAGAGTTAGTTTACCCCTGATAAAGTCTATGCTGAGTATTGCTCTTCGTTCAGGCTGGAAGTTTGCAGTGAAATGATCCATATTCTCATATCCACGCTCTACCTTTTCTAAATGAGACACATTCCTGCCTTCTGCAATTCTGACATGAAAGAGACAGAATGAATTAGATGGCATAAAAAAGGAGTGTCTGACAGTTTAAATGTTTTTAGAATCAGTAAAATGGTGATTATTTGAATCTTACTTCTGTAGTAGAGGCTTCGTATTCTGTTAAAGAGACATTTAGATTAGAGACTTCATACTCCATTGCTTAGGAAAAAAATATGCTTCATTCTCTAATATGTACCAAATTATATTACATTAAGTGTTTTTTTGTTTGTTTTTTGAAGAAAATAAAAAAAAGCATGTAATAAAGAACATTGTAGACCTGCAGGAAGATGGCCATCTCAGATTCCTCCATTGTCTGAACTCCTGTCTCCACTAGTTTGGCTGCGTTATCCAAGTGCTCTCTGTACCTGCACAGGTGATTACTGTGATTAGCAGATTGTAAACATACACACGCATAAACATACCTAGTATGGGAAAATAGAGGAATTATTATGTAAAGAACATTATTTGAAGTTGAGCAGATAAACTTATTAACAACAAAATAATTATGGATATTTGATGAGCATCTATTATTTATCTACCATTCAAAATTTTGTTTTTGAAATAAGTATTTTATGCTCACAAAGGCTGCATTTATTTGATCAAAAATACAGAATTTTCAGTAGCCATTATTACACCAGTCTTCAGTCACAGTGTCACATGATCCTTTAGAAATCATTCTATCATTTTCGTGGAAACTGATACAAATTTTTCAGGATGCTTTGATGACCAGAAAATTCAAAAGAACTCCATTTATTTGAAATAGAAATCTTTTGTAACATAAAGGTCTTTTATGTAAATTTTATGTATCCTTGCTGAATAAAAGTATTAATTTCTTACTCACTCCATACTTTTGAATGGTATATAATGTTATACATTTATATAATAAAGTACATTACAATTAAATTCAAGTATTTTTCATCAGAATAGCAGCTGTTCTTCATAATCATTTGTCACCTATACAGACAATTAGATTACCTATCATCACGAATGTGATCTTCTATATTACTCTTTATTTTTGTGTCATGTGGTATATGTGCATGTACTTGCGCTGTAGGCTATTGATGTAATCGAGTTTCTCCTGCTGTTCTGCAGTGATCTTCAGTGCGAGTTCTCCTCTGCGCTCTTCCAAAAGAGCGTACAGACGATCAAACCATTCACATACACGAGACTTCTGCCTACGCCCATTTTCCTACACACAAACACATACGCACTTGCATCATTACTAGGACTGTAATGTAAGAAATCATAGTTATGATGCCATGGAATTGGTCAACAAAAAAAAGGATCAGTCATTGATAATGATAATAGACACAGACACTGACCTCCACAGATCTGCAGCTTTCCTCTAACTGACTGATGATGCCCTGAATTCTGTCATTGTTGCCAACCAACAAAGCAACACCATCAGACAACTCTGTCTGCACACACAATCACAGAAATATAAACGGATCAATCATCATGAGATAAAGAATACAGTGATGCAGATAGATGATAAGAAAAGCAGAAAAATAGACTAAAAAAGTCTCACTTTCTGGGTCTCGTAGACAGATTTGAGTGGAGCAACCTCACAGGTCTGATGACTCCCAAACACTTTACATAAGGAACAAGTGGGGACAGAGCAGGTCACACAGTATATATTAATCTTCTCTTCTTGATGCTCCTCACACATCAACTCATCATTCTTCACCTCTGGCTCAGGCTTACTGCTGCGGACAGAGAATCAGAGAGATTTTACTTCAATTGTCTATCTTTGTACCTATGTTTTAAAAAAACGTATATAAATGGCTGTATTGAGCAGTGTTTCCCAACCCTGTTCAGGGAGGCACACCAACACTACACATTTTCGCACTCTTCCTAATCAAACACGCCTGAATCAACTCATCAGCTCGTTAGTAAAGACTCCAAGGCCAGGGCTGCGTTCAGCGCCGACAAAACGTTGCACAACGTTTTTTAAACAGAAACGGTGATGCGTTGAACACACTGTTCTGATGACGCAAGAGTTGCAACTATGGCAGCTGAGAAGGCCATTCTTTGTGTTCTTTGTGAAGAATTTTCGGAGCCTGATGAAGTCGGTATAAATATGTGTTTAATACTAGAAAATATGCCCGATGTTACAGTTACTGCACTTGCCGCCCAGAACACAAGAGAACATCCCAATCGAGTGAAGGGATTTGCTGAAACAGAAATGGAAGCACACATCTTACCTAATTCAGATTAAAACACATCTATTTAGCCTCACATACTGACTTTATTTGTAGTTCAAATACCCTGTATTTTCTTTCTCATTTTTAGGAAAAGCACTTAATTACCATTGTTTATTTCTATACCAAATGTCATACACTTGCAATTAAGCTAAAAATATAAACAACTACATCATTATGTTGATATCCTATATTTTTACAATAAAACTTACAACAAACATGTCTTCTAATATCCTCAGTTGCATATACCGAGCTGCATCGAACACATTTGTAAATGACTTTCCTTGAACCCATTGTGCGAGTTCACTTTAATACCGCGTGCTTTATATACATGTTGCTGCTGATTGGACTACAGTTCTGACACACCCACCAAACAAGAGAAAACAAGAATCTTCTGAAAAACAACAAAGAGACACAAATTTCCAAGCAATGAAATACTCCCCTCCCTATAAAAGTAACACAATATAACACATAGTTTTTGTTTAGTTTAATTTCTATTAGTTTGCATCCTCTACTGAGTACAACTAAAATGTAAAGTGATAGAGAAGTGCACAGACAGAGAAAGTAAAAGTCTAACTGCTGTTGCTCATGTTGATGTGTTTCCAAGTGTGTGTGTCTGTGTGTGTTGGGGGTTGGAGGGGACTGATAAATACAGTCCCCTCCAAAAGGTGTGTCTGAAATAGCTCCTGTCACATTGGCCTACTTATAAATATAGTCCCGCACACACACAATTGACCATGTGCTGGAATAGAATAGAATAGAGGAAAGTCTGAAATGATTAGACAGCATAAATAATTAGAGAAGGTGAAATGAAGCTGCAAGTGTACCTGCTAGACTCCTGTTTGTACATATCTATGATGTTCTCCACCAGCAGGTTCCTCTGCAGGCCATACACCCCATGTCTATCCAGAACCACTTCATGCCTACAGGATGGGCAGCGGAACCTGCCGCCTGAGCCCAATGAAGAACCTCCTCGTGTGGGCAAGTAGGGGTTTGAGGCCTGAAACATACACACAAATATTTTTGTTATATACATTTTGGATTTTACTTAAATTATTTCAAATTTTCCTTACAAGGGATTACATGTAAATAAATAAAAACATCTAAATACATTGACAGAAGAAAATAAATAAAAAATAATTTGTGATTCAATAATAATAACTTACTCAAAAGTATTTTGTCTAGCTTAGTACCAAATCCAGCTTGTTTCTTATTACACTCTTCTTTTAACTGTAATTAAAACTATACATTTTAACTATACATTTGTTCCAATCCTGATATTTGTATGACTCTTCTAAATGTTACCACTTTAATCAATTTTCTTGTCATAACCCTAATTCTTGAACAAAATTTCCCACTCTCTTTTGTAGTTAATTAGAAATTTTATGTATAATAAAAATAAATACGACCCATTTTGCCCATTATTTATAGCCTAGAAATCCAGCTTAAGCTCAGCTGGTAGTTTTGGAATATGTTACGGAGGATTCAACTAGCTAGTTTAGCTATTTCAAGCTAAAGTTAGCCATTCCAATGACCAGTAATACAGGCCTACCAGCTAGACACACTCAAGCTGGTTTTTGAATTATGGTGTTATGAAATATCATGTTCCAAAACACTATTGTTTTAAACATTGTTAACCAAGTTTAATTTTACGTATTGTTGGTACCTGAAAGATGTCATTGGCACATTTGCGGCAGAGGTTGTGTTGGCACGGTAAGATTACCACCGGCTTGGTGAAGATCTCAAGGCAAATGGGGCATATCAGCTGCCTCTCCAAACTCTCCATGGTCTCGCGCGTTCTAGGGCACCAATAATCCAAACCCACACTCATCACGCGGAGCGCGCGCTTGACAAACACACTCCGGTGTGTCTTCTTCTGTTTATTTTTTTTATTTCCTTTCAAAGAAATCCAGTTGTAATATTGTCTCCGTACGTGGCACTCGTAGGCCGCTCCGTCACCTTCCTCCACGCGCTTGTCTGGTCTGTTTTTAGCATGGGTACGTAAATGTTGCCATGATTACGTGACCATATATGAAAACGGCACTGCGCGAGACCGGGCAGCTGTCTACCCCCACCAGCCACCACTGACCACAAGCTCGCAAACCTCCCTTATAACACGCGCAGTCGCGCACCCCTGGAAACCAGCTGCGGCGTGAGAATACCACTAGCCTACACTATGGTCATCCAGACTACTTTCATCTTTTCCCTTAAAAGTTTAAATGTTAAGTCCAATTATAACAAGAAAATCTTATTAGTCTTTCTTTAGATTTTCTTGTTAAAATTGGAGTTAAGTCTACTATATGATGATGTAAAGGAGATCTTCTGACATAAAGTATCCTTGCACTTCCATGTTCTTGTACCATGTTACATTGAAGTGGCATGTAAATACCACAGTAGCCTACACAAATATGATAATAATTGGAACACCATATTTTAAATATGGGGAGACTTGACTGACTTTCTGTTCTTATGGTCTCGCAAACTAATGCTTAATTTTATTGTTTTTGTAGATAGATAGATAGATAGATAGATAGATAGATAGATAGATAGATAGATAGATAGATAGATAGATAGATAGATAGATAGATAGATAGATAGATAGATAGATAGATAGATAGATAGATAGATAGATAGATTTAGGCTCACAGCATGAAAACAGTGTAAGAGCGCCATCTATTGTTACAGCTTTGCATTTTCACAATCTCTAAACTTGTTGACCTTTTTATTGTTTCTAGATCATATTAAAGTAAACACATCTCTCTTAACACAAGACCAGGAAATATAACAGTATGTGTTTCTACTCACTGTGAAATCTCAGAATATAGTGTTTCTTTGGCTCAGGATCAGTTCTGTCTGTATCGGATCTACTGAAGAATCCAGTGACTATTCCCTGTGGACACAGTTACTGTATGAACTGTATCACAGGCTGCTGGGATCAGGATGATCAAGGGAGTCTACAGCTGCCCTCAGTGCAGACAGACCTTCACTACAAGACCTGTTTTAGGTAAAAACACCATGCTGGCTGAAGTGGTGGAGAAACTCAAGATGACAAAACTACAAGCTCGTCCTGCTCAATGTTACACTGAATCTGGAGATGTGGAGTGTGACGTCTGTACTGGGATAAAATACACTTTTACAGTGACAGTAAAAATTATCAGAGGGACATGCCCTTTGAAACATTTTTGTTCTTTGCTCAGGGGGAAAAAACACCTTTGCAGGGTTTGAACCGATAACCTTTTGATAATCGCTTCACCACACTCCAGCAGCATGTGAGAGATGATCACACACAGACAGTTTATATTGTATGTGTGTTGGGGAGAAAAATAAATCACCAGGTGTAATTCCAACAGTTCCTGAAAACAGATGGATTCTCTCCATACAAAATAAATATTTTTCTTCTTTTGAAATGTAGGCTACTCTTTCTTCTCTCAGTCTGTGACTCAGTGTGTTTGAATGCCAGCAGTAAGCCCTACTGCTCCACACATAAAGGTCTCTCTGTTTGCCTGTTCTGTGGTTTATTGTTCAATGCTGCCATTGAAAAAAAAAAAAAACTGTCTTTCACGATCCGCTAACACTCCTTAACTCAGAAGACTGTCTGTTGCTGCTGCTTGTGACCACACTATTTCTCATCCCTGCTCCTGGAGTCCAGCAGCAGACTACCCACTAGAGGGCCTCAGCAAACTTTTTGAAGATGACAAACAATTATTTTATGTTAAAATATTTTTTATTAATGATTTAAATTTATATAAATAAATAACCCATTCCAAATCAAGTTTATATTTTTATTTGGTCCCAGAAGAACATTTTGTTTATTAAAGAGCATTCAGATCTTATGGAGTCATGAAATTAATATTAGGCTAGGTAAGCTCAGTAAAATATTTTAATCACTCCAGATTTTGGTTGATAGGATTATGATTGTAGCAGAAGCACAAGAGTAATCATCTTAACCATGTGAAGATCTCCAAAATTGTCTTGGAAAATGGAGGGCCTTGAAGTCAATATTTAGCCTATGTATTTATACAGAAATCGCTTTATTTCCATGTTAAAAGAATGTATATTACCAGAGCATTAATGTACACACACTGCATAGTCTCGTTAATTAGTCTTTATTTATTGTTTATAATATACACATTTATTTTCATCTTGCAAACTGAGCATATCCACTTTTTGCGTATCCAACTTGTTGCACTATTTTTTATTTTTTTATTCATTAATTCAATCATTCATATTGTGTGTGTTAGCAGGACTGAGTCAAATAGATTCTGTCTTGATTTTGTCTGAAAAAATATGTCAATGCAATATATTAGGCCTATATAAATGCTGCTGCGTGTATCGATAATGGCTCTGTGTGTGTGTTTAAAGGCTTAAATGGCCCAAGTAGCTTTGTAAAGCAAAAAGGCAGGCTGTTGCTTAATTTTCTTTTGAGCGACCTCCAATGGGCGTGACTTTCTGAAAATCTTCAACACTCGCCTTGTTCGCGTGTTATCTCCTCATTACATGTCATACTCTCTCAGTGGACTCTGATGTTTAATTTGTGCGATGCTGATAAGCACTCTTTCACTTTTAAAGTGACCTTCGCAAAACCTGGACGTATTATAAATCGCGTTTAGTGCTTTGTAAACCGGACCTCTCTTGTATGTTTTTCACTCAGTGGCTTTGATCATGTTGGATTTTCTATTGACGATCTTTCTGGGCTTTATCTCCGTGCTTCTGTTTTGCGCGTTCTGTGGACGGAGGCGGTGAGTTTTCTGACTGTAGCATTTTGCTGCTGGTTGAGAATGTACATGTATCTGATTTTTATTCATTGTAATACAGATAAATACGTTGTGTTTAGTTGTGATTATGTTGGATATTTGGAGTGTGTTTTTATCATTAGGCAGACTTTTTTTGATCAAAGTGATTCTTATTTAATGTCTGGACCGAAGGTAGTTATATTTGGCAAAGAAATGTCTGCTAAGAGCATATGAATAATTCACAGCAGGCTGGTCTCTTGTTTACTCAGTTCACCTCATGAAATTGAACCTTCCAGTGATGGGTATGTTCTACTCATGGTCGAGAATCGGTTCTTTCGAACGATTCGAGTCGATTCAGTGATTCTATTTCGTCATCGCGTTGTTCCTGACATGCCGATATGGCCACTCATCGGTTGAAATAAAAAAGGCCACTGTTTAGGTTAGACCTGTAGGTGTACCATATGTAGGCTACATACATTCTCTAAAATATCCCAATAAAGACATATGTTGTAGAGAGAGACATACATTTTCTTACATTGTATTTTTAAAGATGTAATTTAATGTAACAATGTAATTTGTTCCAATTCAGATTGTTGTAGTAGCCATGATTCAGTTTATAAAAACATGAAGTCATGAAAACAACACCTGTTTTGTGAACTGGTTTAAATGATTCATTGAAAACATTCGACTCGATGAACAATTCATCCTCGAATTGGATAATTCTATTTTGTAACCCAAACCCTAAGGGGTTAAACCCCCTTTTCTAATGTTAAAGAGCCCCTATTTTAGGGTTCTCAAGTTTTATCAAAAGCTTGGAGTGAGATCACATGCGGTTAGGGGAGGAGCCCTAATGGAGCCCCACCCCCCAATTTTACCCATTGTTCATAATTAACCAGCACAAATTGAAATTATAACAATTGATAAATCTGATAAATGACAGAGCAATTCATCACATCAAATATACTCTTTAATGTTATATTTCAAAATTACAAATATGCAAAAATTACAAAAATATAACAAATTTCTCCAAACAGTTTGGAAAAACAAATCAGTTTTTGCATTTTGAATGTGTCTAGTCGAAATGGTATAATGATTTATTGTGTGGTGGGACATTGTGAACAAAAGAACATAGAGTATTAAAGGGATAGTTCACTTTGAAATACATTTTTTATATGTTTTAGCTTACCTCAAGGGCATTAAAGGGATAGTTCACTTTGAAATTAATTTTTGATATGTTTTAGCTTACCTTAAGGGCATCCAAGATGTAGGTGTCTTTGTTTCCGCAGTAGTTTCAATTTTGATATTTTTAGGTCAAACCGTTCTTGTCTGTCAGTCATATAATGCAGGTCTATGGTCACCACCTCAAAGAGCATACACAGAGAAGTCCAAATAAACATGATTTAATGACTCGTAAATGTAAGTACACATTGATGGCCTAAGACACGAAACGAGCGGTTTGTGTGAGAAAACGAACAGTATTTATATCGTTTTTACCTCTTGTAACAACAGCCACGTCCAAGTGATCTGATGGCGCCGGCGCTTCGGTCTGTGCGTTACAAGAGGTAAAAACGATATAAATACTGTTCGTTTTCTCACACAAACTGCTCGTTTCGTGTCTTAGGCCATCAATGTGTACTTACATTTACGAGTCATTAAATCATGCTTAATTTGGACTTCTCTGTGCATGCTCTTTGAGGTGGTGACCATAGACCTGCATTATATGACTGACAGACAAGAACGGTTTGACCTAAAAATATCAAAATTGAAATTACTGCGGAAACAAAGACACCTACATCTTGGATGCCCTTGAGGTAAGCTAAAACATATCAAAAATTTATTTCAAAGTGAACTATCCCTTTAAGGTGTGTGTGTGTACACAAGAGCACACTCCAGCTTATGAAATGTGTATTGTGTTGTAAGTGTTTGTTGCACATTTTGATGCCTTGATAACAGGGGTAGGGGGCTATTAATACAGTATAATATATAATTTAAAATAAAATGAAGAAATACGTCTTCATTCCTTCCCATACCCACTAACATTTCCCTTAGTTTCAGATAACGTAAGCTAGCCAAACTGAGTCAAAGCTTCTGGCCTGGTTGCAAAGTAATTGTAGAGTTTTTGACTGCATCAATAATAATATATACGATGGGCTATATATTAAATGTTCTAGCCTAAAGGCGAGCTTTCTTCCAACCTTCTCCATCACGACGTGTGTTCGTGCGATGTTGTTGGTTATAGGGTTGCCAACCGTTCCGTATAATACGGAATCGTTCCGTATTTGACACATAAAAGGCTTGTTCCGTATTGAACTGA